TATTTGGTAGGATCTCGATTTTATGAAGAAGCACAGTGCTTCTGTTAGCCATTGTTAAGCTTGGATACTGCTGATAAAGAATAAGTAGATTTGAGATGGAGCCCGATTTTGTACCAGATTCTGTCAAATATATTACAGTATCTTTCAAATATGACATCGCGAGTCAATTTAGTTATTAACCTTTCAGGTATTGTCACATGTGATACCAATTTATATGTATCCCTTATGTTATCTTCTGATGGGCAGGATAGCAGAAATTCAATGCAGAATTATTTCTTTAAATCAACATTGTAATGTCATCAAGCTGATTGTGGCTGTTATTTCATTACCACTCTTTTCAGACACAAGTTATCCCAGATGTTCCAAATTTGCCTCAGTTTGGTGTTCACGGGTCTGGAAGCTAGAGTATGACTGTATATGAACATCATTGTAAATATTCATACTGTCAACATACACCATTTGTATAAACATGTTGTTTCACGTTTCATCAATGTCAAATACAGGACTTTCCCCACTGACTGAAGGATGCAATGTTGGACACATCTGATGTGACTGCAGCAATGATGTGTCATGTATCGGATATTACAAGTCAGTAGAAGCAGTGTTCCCAAAACTACAATGCTTGCTTTAAGGTATACAAACCAGGCTTACATTTACTGTATTAATGTATAGGCTACTATTTATACAACAGTGATAACTTAGACTTTGGAGACTGTATAAAATGTTCTGTTTCCACCTCAAGGTTCATGGCAGGACAGAACATACTACTCAACATTTGCTAAGGAGCACACCTTTAATATTACTTTTTAGGTCCTTCGCAAATTTGGAGTGGTATGTTAGTATGAAAGGGACACTTATGACTTTGTAAACTGTCTGAAGTGAAAGAATGCAAGAGCAAGAACTGTCTGTGATTAAAATTATTTTTATTGCAGTAATCTAGAGCTAGAGGTGTAATTTTAAGGATGTTTAGTTTTTCAAATCATTTTGGAATGTCTCACCTGTATTACCTGTGTTTTGAACACATAAGCAATATGGATATTGTAGGATACAATTTGTTTGAGGGGTCAGTGTGTGGCCGAATTCTGTAGGCCCATCACGGTCAGTGCTCACTGCTTGAAGTCCAGATCATATCTACTGTCTCACGGAATATTAAAATATGTAATATACTCACATGGATTGTTTGTTCTTTACTGGCATCCCAAAAATGGGAGGATGGGATTCAAGATTGGTGTCATTTTATTTATATTTATTTATGATATATTTACAATGGATTTCTATGGTGCCTGGTATCCAACTTGAAGCTGTTTAACATCACATCACAAAGCTAGCCCCATAACCCAAGCTGCCTGTGAGGCACTAGTAGGTTATAGTCACGTGACTTATCCCACCAGGTACCCATTTTCTGCTGGGTGAGCACTGGCAGTTTTGAACAAACTCGCTTGCCTATGGTGAGATCCCATGTGTCACTCATGGGGCAGGACAGAAGTCCTAGAAACTCAGAGTCAAGCTACCAGTCACCCATCCAAGGACAATAGGCTTCACCAAAGTGACTTCTCTGTATACAATTTCAGCATGTTTACTGCACTGATGCCTCACAAAGGTGACACACGGTTTGCATTTTCAGAGGCCCATCGGCGACTATAAAGTGACAGTTGAATGGACACATCCTCAGCAGAGTGTTGCTGACAGCCAACAATGTCCTGGCTGATGTAAACTACCGGGCAATAGAGAATATGCACTATACATCCTTGTTTCATTGCTGCTGAGCTGAAACAAAACAAACAAATGTTTGTGATGGTGATACGGGTATCATTACTAAAGCGATGTTTTTGCGACTGTTGTGTTTTGTTTCATTTGTATACAAGTGAAGAGCAGCACACACACAGGTATCAAGTATCCTATAAAAATCGGCCCCATTAACTATTCAATATTTGTGCATGCCAAGTTCTGTTCCGGTTCTTCAAGTTACAAAATGTTTTCCATTCTAAAAATGCACATTTTTGACATTTTGACATTCTTTTGTTTTTATACTTAGGGAGCATCACTTCTCCCACAAAAACGAACACAAAATGGATTTACGGGTAGTTATAAACCAGGGGCGGATACAGCTTTTTGAGAAAGGGGGGGTGCACACTATTGAGAAAACTTTTGCACACTTCATTTTCACCCGAGTTTCAATGGTCATTTAATAAACTTTCAGGACAAAGGGGTGCACCCCACCCCCTTTGATCCGCCTATGTAAAACAGATTACACCTAGGACTTACTCTAGGCCCTGTCGATCGCTCACAATTTATATTTTAGTACAGACACTAGGTAAAACTGGAGCAGCTTTCTGCGTGACAAGTTGTTGAATTGTATACATGGTAACAGGGTGTTAATGGGTTCACTGCCTCTCAGGTGTCACAGAAAACGAGTCGGTATGAACTGCGGTAGGTATAGTGGTTATGGCCTGTTTCCAGAGTACGACAGTATATTGTGGTCATGTTATTAAAATGAACTCGTGACACGTGAATAGGTCTTCAGCAAACCATGCTTGTCGTAAGAGGCGACTAACGGGATCGGGTGGTTAGGCTCGCTGACTTGGTAAAACACATGTCATCGAAGATCGATGCTCATGATGTCAATCACTGGATTGCTTGGGCCAGACTCAAGTATTTACCGGCTGCCGTCATACAGCTGGAACGTTGCTGGGTGCGGCGTTAAAAGCATGAAAACTGAAGTACGACAGCAGATCTTATTTATAACATTCCATGTCTGAAATATGGAATTTCCAGGAGCCCAATCAGCATATATGTATCTTGGTTTCATTGTAGGTCTGTATTACCTATACATTTAACCGATCTATAAATTGAATTTGAAACATGTCTCTAATTAAACTAACATTAAGTCCCAGAAATAAGGTTATCTCACTTCAACATGTTTGTATATATGTGTAGAGGCCATAAATATAAACATGCTCAGTCCCACGTTGGACGCCAATGTAGATACCATAAAATTCCTAGTACCGTGCTGGAGTTCCAATCACGGACACTGGTCCGGTCGGACGCCATGTACACATGACCAAAGAGGTCAACCCCGTCAGCAAACTGACAAGATGAGGATATGTTATAAATATGACTCGACTTCCTGCTACATATTCTTTATTCTGTAAGGTCTTAGAGACCATTTCCTGGGGTGGTAGGGTAGCCGAAGGCCTGGATTAGATTCAAACATGAACACAATGTATGAAGCCCATTTCTAGAATATTGCTTAAAACGGCGTAAAACCCAACTCACTCACTAACTCACTAGTTTCCAGTCTAAATGTATTCATATACGAAACACAGAATTTGATCGCTCAAGACTAACGTCTAGACAAACGAGTAAGATATACTCTGCGTGAAAATAGTTATCAATCATGAATTAGAGCCCAGGCACACATTCCTGTACAAATATTTTCCTCCTCGAAGCCGGTTTACGTGACAGCTTCAGGGAAGAGAAACCTGTGTGTTATCAAGGTCGAAAACAAGGGCGTGCTGTAGTTGTCATGTTGGTTGTAATCAATAGTATTGAATATATATCCACCACACCTGTGGGAAACTGATTTATAACACAAACGACTTGTCTATTCACTCCGCAACAGCTGATATTATATACGTCTCGTCACATTGACGTAAACGTTATAGTGGGGGAAGGGGTAATCGGCCTTTATAGTGGGGTGATGTATAGTGTGTAAACATATGTACATTGAAGCATTTTACGTCAATGAATTGTACATGGACAAAAACTGACAATACGTCCACAGACCAAGTCCATTAAACATGGACCAGGGTCCGTGAGTAAGGGGGCGAGAAGAGTGAGTGAGATAAAATTATAGATCAGCCATATCGTGACTTAAACAGGTCTACATACATGACAAATACATGTAAAGTAAAGAAACCTGTCAACAAGAAGATCACAGAACAGAACTAAAACTAGCATCTACCTCTTGAGAAGTGAGTGCGTGCGTGCGTGCGTGCGTGCGTGCGTGCGTGCGTGCGTGCGTGCGTGATTGCGCCCGCTGACATTTCTACATTTCAGCCGAAGTACAAAACTGCATACTCCATTTTTGTCTTGAAAGCGTTCTTGGTCAGCTTAAATTGTACGAAACATATCAATGATATGACGATAGTGAGTTGAAGTAGACTCATTATTACACCCAGCGTTTATTTCCTCACAAGCACAGATTAGTCGATCTCACAGTCCCTGAACCACATTATTTTCCCTACTGCCCTGCCCTCCCTGCAATGCTAAAGCCCTAAATAAAACAAGGTGAGGTGAAATTGGGTTTAACGTCGTGCTTGAGAATATTTCGCTCATATGACGACGTGCATGCGTGTGTATGTGTATGTGCGGCTGCTTGCACTAGCCCAGACTTAAGCTGTTTTTTTTATAGTGCTAGCTCACTGAGATACCATGCCGCAGTTAAGCATGAAAACCCCACTCAGACACATTATACTGCCTCCGAGCCGACCAGTCCTTGTTGTACCCATTAATGCCGAGCGTCAGGCAGGGACCAACAAGTACCACATTTTAACGTCTTTTGGTATGACGCGGTCGGGGATCAAACCCGCGACCTTCCGCTCTCCGGGCGGACGCTCTAACCACTACACCACGGAGGCGGTCTAAATAAAACAAGGCTAGATTGTTCCAGGTTCGGAATGCCCCACTTCACTGGGGACTTTTCAGTATAAATGGGTTTATTTGTTACTATCAAAAGTGTATACATTCAGAGACGAAGCGTTAGCCTGGGCAAAGAACAACGTTGAGATAATAGTATACTGTTAACGGTATTTTATGCAATATTGTTTTTCTCCATTTATAAAACGTATAACCTTATGTGTTACTTATTGAGTACTGATTATAAGCTAGCAACAGAGTATTAATTATAGTGTGGCGTTAATCCTTTCATATTTATGTCGTAAAACAGTAATATCATGATTGTTTCTATGTACTTTTAAAGAGCCGTCTGTCGAAGACCTGGGGAGATAACTCTATTCTAATAGAGGGCGCTCTGTCACCGGCAGGTCGCATACTTCCGGTTTGTTCAGTGGACTATGGTGGGTGTATTCGTCTAATTTTCTTTAATCTTATTTGACATTCAGACTCGACAGCTATGTTTCGTAACTCATTTTGACACAACATTATATTCATGGCATCATCAGTTTTTAGATAATATTGTTAATTATTACTTTTTTGCCTTTCCGATAGAAGTAAAGATTGTCCGAAATCCGGAAGTGCAACTGGAAAGGAGAGAACTTGAGTAACTCTGACTCATGAACTCTGCACTTATAGAGAAATAAGAGCTTATCTTTCTGTTGTTTTGTGCATTAATGCTGCTAAATTATTGTCGATTGGACATTGTTTTACCTAATGTTTGCGTTGTTTCTAATCTCTGGATGTGAGGTTGATCCGAGTTTCATAGGCCAGAAATGACTCGTCCATTCACTGTTGGCGAAATGAACAATTTTACTTCCTTCCTCGTTGGTCGTAGCTATTCAGTTACAAGATGCAGCCCGGGGCTGGTGCTGTCATTACTGACAGATTTTATGTCTACGCCCCCTCAGTTCCTGTTTTGAATCACTGGTACTGTTAGCTCTTAAAGTAAAACCAATACTTATTTTGTTACTTTAGAGGAATATGTAAAACCAGGAAAATTGTATCACTATCAAGGAAGGAGTTTGAACTACAGCTTTGGAAACCCAACACCTTGATAGCAAATTATATGTGAATCTATGATTAAAGGTTGCTATTACTTGTTATGTTTTGAAATGCTGTTGAGACAAAGATACAAAATTGGTCATTTGTATTGAAAATCTAGTAGCCAAGATGTAATGCACAAAACATGCCTCACTGATAAGAACTTAAGATTAATATATCTGTATGTGGGTGTTTTATTTGCCAATTTAGGGTGTAAATTGTATCGTAATGTGTAGACCTGTTAAAAAACATAATGTTAATTGCCTATCCATCTACGTCATGTACATTACCATCATATATCTATGATAGAATTCATGTGTCACAACTTTGTTGCTCTATTATTGAGATTGTTTATTTTGCTGATGTTCAGGGCCCACTGTTGAAAAAGGGCTAATTTTTTCCACAGCCCTTAGCAGAAAAGTAGTTTGGTTTTCAAAAGATATGTAGGATTCTTAGGATGATAAATGTAATTACCAGATTACTTTTGTGGAACCATGTTGTGGGGATTGATTCCAGTTAAAAATTAATAACATTAGTGAAAATCCTTGATATTTCAAAACCACAAAGACCTTAGCAAAAATAGCTTATTGAACATGTTGAAAACAGAAACTGTCTAAAACAACTTCACATGTCGTGTATGTCTTTTTTACCAAGTTATTTAGCACATGTGAATGATAAAGTAAATAAGGAAACTTATTCTCTGTTATCAGATTGTGGTTGGGGTAACCATGGTAACCTAGTGGTGAGAGTGTTCATTCACAAGTTCAGGTAATGTCTGATCATGTTGAAACTAATGAAAGTGATTTAAACATATCCAGACTGCTTACTGCCTTCTTCTTGCAGCAGAATGCTAAAGATGTATTGATGCAGCAATACAGTATTGTATCATGATACAAGGCTTACAATACAATAAAGCGATTTATAACTCTTGGGTCAGAATGTATATGATACATGGCGGTGTGGTAGCCTAGTTGTTAAAGCGTTGGCTCGTCACGCATCAGAAGATCCGGGTTCGAATCCCCACATGGGTACAATGTGTGCAGCCCACTTCTGGTGTCCCCCGCCGTGATGTTGCTGGAATATTGCTAAAAGCGGCGTAAAACCATGATACATTATGTCACAAGATAGAATGGTTCAAAAACATGTGATTAATAACAAACTGTTGGAGAACCAGTTTATGTAGATTCTCTAGTAATTCATGGTTGGGTATAAACAGCAAATGCACATTGCTGTGGACAGTGCCCCCGTATTGTGTTTCTCCTCTACAATATCCCATTTTCACTAGTTGAAATTTGAGACAAATGATTCAGGGCTGTGATTCACCTGCTAAAGGGGATGGAATATGAAGATGCTGAACTTATGAAGAAAAAATACTGTAATTGTATAAGAATTGTATTTCTGCTATATTATCAGGATATATATCATAGTTCAGCCTCGTCGTATCGTTACCCTCAGGGGTGGAAATAACCCATTGCCCGACGCCTGAGTCCAGTGTTTTTTTCTGTCGGGCAAGCAAATTTGTATATCACACTGTACAGGTGTCCAGTTGATATTCCAATGTTAATTATGTTGTTTATTTAAAAATCAACAAGAAAACAGCCGGTATAGTTGAAAAAGTATCAGGGCAAGTGATTTTACATGTGCCACTGTACCGGAGTACACTAGCAATATTAAAGTTATTTCCACCCCTGACCATTCTACAGAATGCACACAACAAATTGGGATATATGAGGGACTTTTATTTTCTGAGCTCTTGAGGCACTCAGTTATAGACTTAAGCGTGAACAAGTGTCACTCAACTTCATTTCTTTCCAAGAAATGATACCCGTAAAAATCTGTATTAGAATTGATCTTCAGCAACCCATGCTCATCATAAGAGATGACTAGCAGAATCGGGTTGTAGACTCGCTGACTTGGTTGACAATTGTCATCGTAACTAAGTTGATGCTCATGCTGTCGATCACTGGATTGTCTGGTCTAGACTCGATTATTTACAGAATGCCACCATATAGTTGAAATAGTGCTGAGTGTGGCATTAATCAATCAGTCCATCCATCTATCCGTCCTGTTCATGCTGTAGATGTCAAGTTAGATTGATGAAAATCAACCACTGATCATGTGGATACCCTAAACATTGTTTGTTTACCAGCATAAAAATGTTGTATATTTCATATGTGTAACAGCAATCTACATTTCTCATATGTCTCATGTTTAAATCCGTCAGACTGTTGAGCATGCCACAGTACTCCTACTGTAAATGACCTGTGTTCATTATTTGTATGTGTGTAATTGTAAGAAAGAATATTTTGTTTGAGTAAAACAAATATATAGGTTGTTTTTGGATAATAACATTGACGTCTATTTTTTCCAGGCAGCAACATTGAAGCCATATCTTACAGCGGTCAAGCATACGCTGACCGCTGCCATGTGCCTGCAGAACTTTGATTCACAAATAGTGGAACGACATAATAAACCTGAGGTTGAAGTAAAGTAAGTAGGAACAGATGCTCATCTTTGTTCTTGGCGGAGGCGGTGGGGTAGCCTAATGGTTAAAGCATTTGCTTGTCATGTCGAAGGCCCGGATCGATTCCCCACATAGGTACAATGCGTGAAGCCCAATACTGGCGTTTCCCCACCGTGATATTGCTGGAATATTGTTGAAAGCGGCATAAAACCCAACTCACTCACTCACTTTGTTCTTGGGCCCTGTTCCACAAAGCAGTCTTAACGCTATCTTGACCATCACTCCAGTTCTCATGATAGTGACAGCACCAAGAAGGCTTTGTGCGGTGGGGCCTATTTTAAAACGTTTGATGTTTAACTTTAATGCTGCTCTCAGTTATGCGTCAGCAGCCTGTGTGTAACAAGTCTGGATTAGACAAGTCAGTGGATTAGAGACATTTTAAGCACACTTTGGAGAACCATGACTGTGAGCCTTACCATTAAATGCATTCTGCTGCCTCTTTGACAAGAGGCTGGGGGATACATTGTAATTGAAATCGCCATGGGAACATACGGAAAAGGGAAGTGGGTGTTACTGGACAACTGTTTAAAGTGAAACTCTTAAGTTGTAAAAAGAATTATATATTATGTGACTGTGTACTTGTCAGGCGACAGGAACATAAGTAATTATAATTAATTAATAATGAGTCTATTTATATTACGCTAAATCCGCACTGACAGCATGCTCATAGTGCAGACAATTATTACCCCAGATAACCCAAGCTGTCTGCTGCCTGTGGGACGCTAGAAGGTTATATATAGTCATGACTCACATGACTTATCCCATCGGATATTGTTCAAAGCTTCATTGAGCCTAACACACCCATAGTAGCTGAAACTAGTGCTGGAGCAAATGATCCAATTGTCATTCAATCCATTGATCTTGTTTGCATCAGTGATTATTGATGAGCTCGGGAGATTAATCCATATTCATAACAAGTGAAACATCAATTTAAAATTTGGAAAGTATGTTTCTTATTGTTATGTTTGTTAAATCAAGACATAAGAAACTGGTGCAGTTCCTCATAATACTGCAGTGTATTATGTAAGCAACATACTCTCTAGCATGTCTCAACAGGAAGTATCCTCGATCATCTTGATTGTAGTAGTAAACAGCGCCGGTTTATGACTGAGTCCCGTTGTTGCCAACACAAGTTGTGGGTTGGGATTACGCTCAATCACTGATTGATTAGTGAGCTCTAATTATTGTGAGTGATAACTGGCACTAGCTAACATACAGATTCACTATTCTGTATTTGTGATGTTTTAAACTAAACCGAATCTTGATTTTCTTTTCCAGAAGCAGTGAAGAGTTGCTCTTAGTACCTGTAATTATTAGCAGGAATGAAAGGGAACGAGTTTTAATAGAGGGGTCCATTAACTCACTACGAGTTAGTATAGCAGTGAAACAGGTAAGTCTAACTGTATCATTGACTGGTATCGTGGCAGTTATTTATAAAAGGTTTCCTACACTGACCACTTGATGTAAAAAACTGAGTTTTACTTAAAGATCTTTGACAAAGTTTATGCTAAATTTATCATGTTTTAGTAGTTTATGAGTTGTTTATTTTCTGTTTGTAATATGCATGGATATATCAGGATGCTAAATGACCTTCTGTGTAATACCATTTTTATTAAACGAGTTCATGGTTTGGTATCAAACGGTCGAAAGCGAGTTTGATGCTTAATCTTTCACTAGTTTAGTAAAAATGGTATTTCGTGGAAGCGAGTTTAGTATTCGGTTTCTTATTCTCCAACATAAATTTATAGAAACTGCCTACACTGTGATGACTCTTAGCTTTCCGTGAGTCAAGCAAGGTCTAATACCATTGTGACAGAGGTATTATTAGCAGTGTGACATCATGACTGTAAACCATTATGATGTCATACGTCCGACATCATGCGATGTAATAAATATATTTCTAACATGATCTAAATTTGCTTCTTTTGTATTGTAGGCTGATGAAATTGAGAAAATCTTGTGTCACAAGTTCATGAGGTTTATGATGATGAGAGCAGAAAACTTTATAATCCTCAGGAGAAAACCAGTAGAAGTAAGTGACAATTGACCAACCAGGGGTGTACTTCTGACTTTGTCAGGATGTATGAGATATGGCTAACATCGTTGTGAAGCATCACATATTTGTTGTAGACCATCTCCGTGGTGTAGTGGTTAGAGCGTCCGCCTGGAGAGCGGAAGGACGCGGGTTTGATCCCCGACCGCGTCATACCAAAAGACGTTAAAATATAGTACTTGTTGGTCCCTGCCTGGCGCTTGGCATAAATGGGTACAACAAGGACTGGTCGGCTCGGAGTCAGTATAATGTGTCTGAGTGGGGTATTCATGCTTCACTGCAGCATGGTATCTCAGTGGGCTAGCACTATAAAACCAGCTTAAGTCTGGGCTAGTACAAGCAGCTACACATACACACGCATGCACGTCATCATATGAGCCAAATATTCTCAAGCACGATGTTAAACCCAATTTCACCTCACCTCACCTCACATATTTGTTGTTGCTCGGGCAGTGTGCTGGCCTATTGGAAAATGGTCAGTTTGTTCATTTGTCATGCCAAAACCAGGGTTTGATTTCAGTACAGTGTCCAAAGCCCACTTTTCACATCCATGATATTGAACTATATCGTGTATTGGTACAGTGTTGGAATACACAAATGTTGAAGTATGGTCCCAGGGATGCATCACTTCCAAATCAGAGACACATTGATGCCACTGAGCTCATGTTCAAAGAAGTGTAAAACCAAACCCATTTATAACTAGTTTGGCATGGAACTACAACTTTCATCCACTTTAGGGTGTCTAGGTCATGACTGAAATAGTGTCCACAACTGACTTACTTAACTTGTATTGCCACGAATATTCACTTGGTGAATGGAATCTTATGTAATATGAATGGAATGTCAAAGCGTCCAGTCACTCACTCCAACTCATTCCCCTCCCTCGCCTCTCTCTCGCACTCACTCACTTAAGCTCTAGTGTGTTGAGTTGTCATGTAGAATTGTGTCCCTTTGGTGTGTTGGCAGGGCTCGATTTAAGAGATGTTAACCTACTTGTACCAGGTGCAACCTGAGATAAAAACCTAGTTGCACCAGCCAAATTCCAGTTGCATTGCTTTTATTGCAATATGTATTGAAAGAAATATGCTATTGAATTATTTAGATGTTTTATTCAGATATTTACCCACGCAAAAATTGACCTGCACCTGGTGCAAGTTAGAATAATAACTACGTTGCACTTTGTAATATTGGGTTGCACCAGTGCAAGTAACAAAGCACTAAATCAAGCCTTGGTTAGCAGCTGAATGACCATCCTCGGCTTTTACCAAATCCAAAGCTAGTCTCTTTGCTAATGGGTTTCACCTAAGCAGCTAAGTGGTAGACTGTTGCAGTTAGTGTGGGATTTCCTCCAACAATAATGTGCTACTTTCTGAGAGACTCATTCCCAATATTGTATTGTTCCAGGGCTACGACATCAGCTTTCTCATCACCAACTTCCACGCAGAGCAGATGTACAAACACAAGTTGGTGGACTTCATCATCCACTTCATGGAGGAAATAGACAAAGAAATTAATGAAATGAAGCTAGCTGTTAACTCAAGGGCACGACTAAGTGCGGAAGAGTTCTTGAAACGGTTTTAGGCATCACAACTCCACAGCGTGCTGGTAAAATGTCCATGTAAGTCCTGCACTGTGTGTAGTCTGTGTGGTACTGTTAGTGATGTCTTTGTCTATTCTCCATCATTGGCGGATCCAGAGGAAAATGACTTTAGACCACATTACAGATGTAAAGGAAAACCCCCCCATAAACACCCCAGCTGATGGCATGTCTTTATGATAAAGTTATTACGATGTTTCACTGTTCATCTATTATTATTGAAAAAAACAATGCATGTTAAACGCTGTTAATTGCAATCCGCACTGAATTTCACTAGTTTACAACGTGATTAACCAGAGCTCAACAGCGGATTTGTTGATGTGCTATTTTCGATGACGTGAATAAGTGTGATCACTCGGCAACTTTTTTATGGGAGTCACTGATTACCCTGTGGTTTAACCGAATCCGCGGTATCGCGAAGAGCGTTATTGCGAGGGATGACTGTATTTGTTTCATAAGGCCAGACCAATTTTATTTCCAGTTTTACGGATCCGTCAGTCATATTTTTTCAAGAATAAAAAATATATAACAATAATCAAAAATGTGCAAGAAAATGTTTTACATTCTCTTTTGCCCCATATACACTTCCTAAATTGCCAAAAGCAAAATACTTTTAGTATTTAAAAGGAATATTACTTTGACTGGTGATTTTTTAATGTATTTTTTTCCTCCTGCCTTTAGGTTTTCTGAGGACAAAAATCCTTAAAACAAGAAATAAAATTGGTCTGGCCTAAGCACAAGACTGACTGAGTTTGGTTTTACGCCGCTTTTAGCAATATTCCAGCAACATCACGGCAGGGGACACCAGAAATGGGCTTCACACATTGTACCCATGTGGGGATTCGAAGCACAAGAACCGACAGTCTTGCTGGTTCTGTGTTAGTAAGGGCTGATTGGAGTAGCATAGGTGACAAGCTGAACTCAACGCTTTAACCACTAGGCTACCTCCCGACCCTAAGCACAAGAAATCAGATCCTATTGACAGCTCTGTGCTAGTTCTGTGTTAGTAAGGAGCTGATCCCAATTCGTGGAGTAGCATAGTAGTTAAAGCTAATTGCTAGTCACACAGAAGACCGGGTTCGATTCCCCACATGGGCAAAATGTGTGAAGCTCATTTCTGGTGTCCCCCAGGGGTGTATTCTGAACAACGTGCCTGATATTGCTGGAATATTGCTAAAAGCGATTCATGAATAGTTAAATCAAACTCACTCACTCACTCACTAAGAGGTTTCCAAGTGTGATTGCTTATAAAAGACCCATTCCAATTAGTTTAACTAGGTTTATTATCTGAATAATTTATTATTAGCAGAAAATAAAATACCTAGGAATTGTGTCAATTGGAATTGTTTTTGTTTTGCAAAACATGTTGAAAGTACTTCTTTAAACTTGATGCTTAAGACTAGGATGTCAATGGTTCTGTGTTTTTGTCATACTGGAAATGATTCCTTTTCGCATGATTTAGTTCCAAGCACTGCACCAAATATACTGTCTTCAGCCATGTTTCATTAGAGGCAAATTGAAGAGAAAGGTCATGTGCTTTTCATTTGGGCAGATTTCAAAGTACTTGTTGCCAGCTTGATTGGATAAGAAGCCAATGTTTATCCAAACCTAGATTTATTATAGTCAGATGAAGCCTGTCAGAAATAAGGCAGGAGTATTCCCCAGGAAGAAGCGCTTCCTGATCGGCTAATGAACCTGCGTCCATTGTGTGGTCACTAGAACAGAAACTTCTCTTGTGGAATAAGGCTATAAGAGCCAAGTAAGCTCAGGGGTTATCATCCACTGATAGCAAACAATGCTTTAGAACGGTTGACATCCCGGTGCTTTAATGCATCCAATGATACAACAGTAACAATATGTCCTGATGAGATTTTGGAGAATTTGTTGCTGAACAATCATCGTGATTAATTATGACTTAATTAAGTTATAATTTTCTGTAAAACAGGCCAGTTCATGTATTTTTTTCTCCAAAAACTCCATGCTGGGCATTTAAACTGTTTGATATTTCATGGTTTTCTTCTATTTTTGTTCACATTTGCTGATATAAGATCGTAATTTTACTTTGTGCCAAGTCATCATCAGATGAACAAGGTTCTGTGTTAAGCCCTGTATGGTACGCTGATAATACAGGGTCTTTTATCTCCATTCTATTCTGATAAAAATCCTTGATCATTCACCGTAATAGCTTTGTTTTGTGTCCGGAATAAATGACATGATGCTGAAAGTTGATGGCCAACCAGATTTTGCCATTTTTTCATTAAAATGGACTCAATATCACAGTACCTGACTCGCCTTTGTGTATAGTCAGAAATACCACCGGGACCACCATTAAGCATAAGGACCTCTCTCTCCAATCGTTAGATTTGTGAAAAACAACATTTCTCAGGTTACTAACTTATTCTAATTAGATTAACTATTAGTTCTGCAATGAATCCACTTCAGGGCAAATTTCATACATATCACAAATAATGGATAATGAATACAATAACATGTCAGATTGTTGGGTTTTTCATTATATTCAGAAAACAGTAGTAAAATATTTCTTTGACATGTCTTTGACCATGTTAAGTGTTAATTTGTCTCGACAATAACCAATGACCAGATTACTGTCAAATTGTGTTAACTATTATCCTCCCTGGTTTGGTTATATTCCATTTTGCATATCTCACTTTGATAAATAACTCTCTAAGTAAAAACACTCCTTATTACAAAAATCAAGAATATTTGATTCTCATGATCCTAAATAAAGGATACAGTTCACTGAATACACAAGTAAATTGTAATTGTCCTAAACACGTCTTTAGCTTGCTTGTACAAGGCCTACATTTTGAATGTAGTGTTGTTAAGTCCAATCAGGAAGTCATTTTCATTTGTTGTTAAATTTAAACTTTATCTTTTGTTCGTGAACGACGTCACTTCCGAAAAACAAAGCCCCAATGATGAATGGTTACAGGATCTTTATCATAATATACTACAAATATAGTTAAGGGATGATCTGATAGTTTCACATTGCTGTTGTTAAACGGGTGATCCTTAATTTGTTTTGATTGTTTAGAATGGAAATAGAACACACTGAGAAATCTAAGATTTAGCAATCATGGAATAATAAATTGTTTCAACTTCAAATGGATTGTGGTACCAAATGCACTCTTTCCTTTATATATTTTGTTCAGATTATATTTTTCTAATATACGTAATGAATCTTGATTTTCAAATTATAACTAATATTCATATATTTATGCCACTGGTTGAAAGTGCTTGATTTGTAGTTAGAGTTAGATCATATATCAGTTCTTTACATATTGTGTGATCATTCTCTTATTGTTTGGGGGCAATGAACAGATTGAATCGGGAAATCATGTTATCTGCAAGTTGGTGATCTTGTCACCGGGGGATTAATTTTGACATAACTGAAATTTGCATTATGAAATGAAATGAGTCTTCTGTTCCATAAAATTTGATTTTCCGTCAAACATTATAAAACATGTATGTTTTTGATAAATAGTGTTTTGGTTATATTCTCAGTACAGGTTATTAGAGCCGTTTACCGTAGCAGGAATAAAGTCAGATGTAGGATAGTTATTTCTGTTCATAAACACAACATAATGCCATGTTCGAAAAGATGACATTAGGTGTCACAGTCAGTCTAGAGTTACCTCCCTTGGGTACACCAGAATCCTATGATTGTGTTTGAATCTTGGTTGGTTCCAGTTATGTTTCTAAGTGTGTCAGCACCATACCTGTGCTCATGGGTTTCATTAATACGGCAAACGTCAGAGACGTCATCACTTCAGGTTTCGTGCCACATAGAGATAACAGGCCATGATAAACCTTAAGTACTGTTCAGAGTGGTGCTGAAGCAAACTCACACTCCGAAAAAATTCATTTTGGGTCTGTAAAAGTTCATATTTAATTATTACTTTCAAATTGTTTTCACATGCTCCTTAATCTTTTGTAATCATATTAGACACAAAAAGTAGGTTTTTTTGCTTATTTAGTAGACACAGCAAGTCTCTTGGCTTTCCAACACATTAATGACATATATCTTCATGCTAAACAAATATATCTTGCATATACTGGTAATGCCACGACTTGGGCTTGAGTTGCCAGTGATCTAAAGTGGTGTCTTAAATACAGTGTATGATTTGTAAAATTGATTTGAATATAAAACATGTACAAAAGCTGTCACTTAAATAAATGAATCCTTATTATTAAACAGCTGCAGTTTGTTTTCCTTTGAGTATTGGGACCTGTGTGTGAGTGTATTTTACATTTATATTAGATTTGATAGCTCCTTGCCAAGAAAAAAGATTCTGAATCAGGTGAATTATATTGGGATAGTAATAGGCCTGATCAGCAGCTAAATTGCCACACCTGATCAGTGGCTGAGTGTCTGCGTCCGGGGACCTACTAAACAGGATCAGTGGCTGAGTGTCTGCGTCTGGGGACCTACTAAACAGGATCAGTGGCTGAGTGTCTGCGTCTGGGGACCTACTAAACAGGATCAGTGGCTGACAGTCTGCGTCTGGGGACCTACTAAACAGGATCAGTGGCTGAGTGTCTGTGTCTGGGGACCTACTAAACAGGATCAGTGGCTGAAAGTCTGCGTCTGGGGACCTACCAAACAGGATCAGTGGCTGTGAAAGTCTGGCTGAAAGTCTGCGTCTGGGGACCTACCAAACAGGATCAGTGGGTGAAAGTCTGCGTCTGGGGACCTACCAAACAGGATCAGTGGGTGAAAGTCTGCGTCTGGGGACCTACTAAACAGGATCAGTGGCAGAAAGTCTGCGTCTCGGGACCTACAAAACAGGATCAGTGGCTGAATGTCTGCGTCTGGGGACCTACTAAACAGGATCAGTGGCTGAAAGTCTGCGTCTGGGGACCTACTAAACAGGATCAGTGGCTGAAAGTCTGCGTCTGGGGACCTACTAAACAGGATCAGTGGCTGAAAGTCTGCGTCTGGGGACCTACTAAACAGGATCAGTGGCTGAATGTCTGCGTCTGGGGACCTACTAAACAGGATCAGTGGCTGAAAGTCTGCGTCTGGGGACCTACTAAACAGGATCAGTGGCTGAATCAGTGGCTGAATGTCTCGCGTCTGGGGACCTACTAAACAGGATCAGTGGCTGAAAGTCTGCGTCTGGTGACCTACAAAACAGGATCAGTGGCTGAAAGTCTGCATCTGGGGACCTACTAAACAGGATCAGTGGCTGAATGTCTGCGTCTGGGGATCTACTAAACAGGATCAGTGGCTGAATGTCTGCGTCTGGTGACCTACTAAACAGGATCAGTGGCTGAAAGTCTGCGTCTGGGGATCTACTAAACAGGATCAGTGGCTGAAAGTCTGCATCTGAGGACCTACTAAACAGGATCAGTGGCTGACTGCTTGTGTCTGTGGAGCTACAAAACCGGACCACACGTATATTTTGACCTGTTCATTGGACAGATCACTTGAACTTTTCCTGTTTATTAAGCTCAGCTGATGTAGGTTTGGACAGCAAACTGATCAGTAGAGTTGATACCAACATAACACGTCTGTCAAGGAAATATTTAATTCAAAATATCAAAGAAACACATTCCTTTTCTGCATATATATTTTTACACATATTCATGAACACATCCATTCTGGTGTCGAGCTTAGCTTATCAGAATCAAGTCAAACTCTTTACAAAAGTTACAAATCTCTTCAAACATGTTCAACACTGTACCATTCGCACAAAAATTCAACATATGTTTTATAAGGTAAGAGCATCCACAGTTCATGAAAATGGATGAGAGGCGACATGCCTTGAACTAGCAACCGATCAGATCGGTACAGCAATGCCTGAGCAATAAGCAATACTTGCACGAAATCATGAAAAGATTCGATCAGTTTGTGAATGTTCTTAAAGGCTGCAGTAAGCAGTATTAAAGCTATATCACAGTAGACTGTACATTATCAAGACTGGGTCATGAAAAAACGGTGACTGACATCAGCACCAGCCTATACAATTGAAATACAATGACGTATTAAAGAAGTCGGCGAACTTGACCACCCAATCCTGTTAGTCGCCTCTTAAAGGCTGCAGTGAGCAGTATTCCAACAGCCTATAAATAATCAAGACTGGATCATGAAAACCAGTGACTGACATCATGAGCACCAGCCTATGCAACTGAGATACAATGACATGTATCAACTGAGTCGGAGCCTGACCTTCAATCCTGTTAGTTGTCTCATAAAGGCTGCAGTAAGCAGTATTTCAGTTAAATCCCAGTAGCCTGTAAACAATGAAGACTGGGTCATGAAAACTAGTGATCGACATCATGAGCAACCAGTCTGGACTCAACATCAAGGGTTGCTGCTACCAGCAACGTACCGTGTCATCCTAGCCCGCCCACAATGCCTCATTAATCGATTAATTTAACTTCAATCTGAGTAAACTTAGGCTCAGTATTATTCGTTACACTGCTATACTGAGTCTAACAAAACCTTGTGGAAGGTCGTGTCAGGTAACCTTTGAGCGACCTATGACCGTCCAATCAAACGCGAGACGGCCGAACGGATTTAACCAATCAGACAACGGCTACTATTTTGGGTTTGGCGGGACTTACAAAATGGATTTTCTCTTCCCCCGGTCGCCAACACTGATCTCATAACAATGAAACCCGCATAGAACACAGATATATGACCTGCAGAATATACACTTTTGGGTTTCTGTTGACATGGCTATCATTAGCTAATATTTCCGAAAGCTGACATCCTTAAATACTGACAAAACGCTTTTTTCAGCGACTGTTTACTCGCTCTTGTGGCATGCTCCATGTACATCACTCGGAAACGATCGTACGGAAAATAGCATTCGGAATCGTTCGGGTACAAAACGTTTTTGAGGTAAAAGTTCAAAAGGTATGTGCGAATGTCAACTTTACAATACTGAGCCTAAGTTTACTTAGACTGATTTAACTTTGGACAAGGCTAGGAGGGAATGAGTCTTTGTAATGGAAATTAATCTAATCTGCAAACAGAACAAGAGTGAGTTCAGTTTTACGCCGCACTCAGCAAAAACAGAAGAAGAACCTGCAAGAATTACATCTCTAATTACTGGTTACTCATGAAGCTTAGAGAAGGCACTTTGAATAGTTAACACATTCATGTAACTGCAAGGCAAAAACATAGAAATATTAGTATTTCAGGTACCGGTAACAAGAAATCATGAGAGTTTCGTTTTTTGACATTTTTAGTAATAGTCCAGCAAAATCACAGCAGGGGAAAAATGGTCTTTACACTTTGTACCCATATGGGGAATTGGACCCGGGTCTTCAGCTTCACAAGTGACTAGGCTACCACCTCTGTTATGCGTCCAAGGAATTATGGTTTGTACGATAACATGGTCTAGGTTGATAGCTCTTTTAAATATGTTTTTATTAATAATGTTTAACACTGCTAATATATCATACTGTTTTTCAAATCGGTAGCAGCAACAAAAACATGCAAAACATCTGAATGTTTAATGGCATTTTCTTGATAGCTGTTTCAAGTTGTGATAACACCTATAGCTACCAAAAGCACCAATGATGTGGGTGGATTTCAAGAAACACAAGTTTGACTTTCTTGCCTTAAAAATAAACCAAGCTTAGCTCACACAGTTTATCATAAATTTGCCAAATTTCTCTTCTCATGAATCTGGGTACCGATCCACAAAGCAATTGCAACATTATGACCTAACATAGCTCTTTACTTATGATTAAGGGCGGCGGGGTAGCCCAGTGGTTAAAGCATTCGCTGGATTCCCCACATGGGTACAATGTCTGAAGCCCATTTCTGGTGTCCCTTGCCATGATATCGTTGGAACATTGCTAAAAGCAATATAGAACAAACTTTATGGATAACAACTTCTTTTTATTCGTGAGTGCGACATTTCGATACAGATTCTTGTATCGTTGTCAAGCATAATGGAACATGAAGAAGGGGGAAGTATATATATACTGGATGTAACAATGTAACAAAGAAAACAACATAATTGGCTAGGCAGAAAGCTGATGAAAGCTCTACTCTCTGGCTTCATCAGCTTTCTGCCAAGCCAATTATGTTAATTATGTTGTTTTCTTTGTTACATTGTTACATCCAGTATATATATACTTCCCCCTTCTTCATGTTCCATTATGCTTGACAACGGTACAGGAATCTGTATCGAAACGTCGCACTCACGAATAAAAAGAAGTTGTTATCCATAAAGTTTGTTCTATATTGTACTTCCCAACTTCTAAAAATGCCACTCAAAGAAGTTGCTAAAAGCAGCGTAAAACCATACTGACTCACTTACGATTGACATAGTGCTGCAAATGCATTGTGGATAGGCTCCCAGTACCTGTAATGTTTCTATATTCTGTAACCAGTTTCTAATACAACAGGTCAATACACATCAGCTATGTAGAAATGTTTATTTTCAACAAACTTTTGTTTGACAGAATGAAGTTCATGTTTTACTGTCAAAATATTAAATGTATATGTATTATCACCTCTGTAGATAGTGGATGGATATGATAATATATCAATAACAACACTCTCCATGCATCATGGACATGCCACAAAATACCTTTCATTCATCTACTCCACCATACACAAAACTCAGATATTACAGTGCAGTACTACTAAACAATATACAAGAACAACAGATAATGCTGTGTAAAGTACGTCAGGATATTCATGGATAATATGCAACAAAAGATCTTTTATACATTTTTAGTTGGTTTACCCCAAATTTTGTTTTTAAAATCTGAAATTAGAAAAATATTTAAATGACTTTTGACAATTTGTATTTACAGATCAGTTTTACAACTGGATGAAATAAAAAGAAAATGGGAGATTTTATCACCACTGTTTAAAGAAATGCTGAATAATACGTATAAAAATGTTTCCTGTAATAAAGAAAATCAATCAATTATCTTTCAGTATCTTGCAATGTAAAAACACTGGGTTTATTCATAGTGCTAATCTAAAAATCTAAATTTGTTTGGACTAATTGTAAACCAACTAATAACAAATGAAAGGCCTAGAGAGATTAAGAGAGATCAGTCACATCTTGGAGTACACTACTAACACCATTCTCTTCTAAGGAATGCTAATCACAACTCAATCAACTCAATCAACTCATTTCAACCAAAACCAAACAGAAATGATCTGATGAAATAGGGTGTGCTGTAATCTGCAGGCTTAACAATCTTCTAGAATGGGACTGGATCCCGAAAGTCTTCTGGGCTGTTCCCTGTATACATATTCCTGATCATATAAACATGTCGAGCGTCTCTTTCTCAGTCCCAAACTTGTGCAAAACGTGTGATGTGGCTTGGTGACAACAACCACCATATTAATTAAATTTACGCTCATTCAATATTTTTCAACTTCAGTCTAGTAATTTTTCACAAGCAACCAGGCAGGTTCACTTATATCATAAACAGAAACAAAGAAATCTTCTGCCTCATTCCATAATGCTATAATAATTTTAATGGATCTACATTTAGACATGATAGTGAATGAGTAGGGTTTTATGCCATTTTTAGCCACATTCCAACATTCCATATAAGCTTCACACATTGTACCAATGTTGGAAATGGAAGCCATGGACTACCATATATCGCTGCGTATAGTGCAAGCCCACATATAAAGCGACCGATCTACAAGCTTTAAAAATCAATGCCAATTCATGTAACAGCTAATTTGAGAAGATCCCACATTTGCGTACTTCCGGCTCTCTTTTGACACAGACATATTTCACTTTGTAAGTTGGTTTGGCAACCTGGATTTGAGGTGACCCTTGTTTTAGCTTTGCCAAACAGAATTTAAAAATTGTGCGCATGAAACAAATGTGAGATCTACCAACCATGTATAAGATGACCCATCAGCACCTTCATGTCAGGTATGATACACTTGCCTTACACGCAGCGATATATGGTAATTATTACCCATATCACAGGGAGGCGACACTTGGGCAAATAATGTCGCCCTAACTGAAAATTCATGAAAAAACATTAATAACCCTTTTACAAATGCGTGTGAACTTGAGAATATATTGTATGGAAGTGTAGAGCAAGTAGGGCTGGCTAAAAGGATCGACAATTGGAAATATTATCGATAGGAAAAATTATTAATGCTAATCGATATGAAAATTGTGTTATCAATAATACTAGTATCACACATTAACTTTTGTGATAGAAATAACTTTTAACTTCCTCACACAATATACAAATTTATGACTTTATTCATGGTCTGTTTCTAAATTATGTTCAGAACGCTGTTTCGTTAATAATACATGTAAAAACATGTCACAGTTCACCAGTAATGTAAAATATATTCATTTCTTTCAGACATTTTTTGCATTCATGCTCAAAGTTATGTCCCTGATATTTATTGACAATCTATCAATATTTAGTTAACAATTAGCGATCTCTATGATAGCCTAAGTGGAAGTCAAGGGATGTTAGTTGTAAGGGCACAGTGAAGTCTGTGACAGACACATGACATGGTTCTGAGCATGACATGAATGATGGCCCTGAGATGTGAGAAGAAGGAACTGGCATACAGGACAACACACGTCTCTAGCTCTCCGCCGCATCAAAACAAATAGTTCAGGAATTGCATAGCCTTTTCGAAACCCAGGAAACACATCTGAAATATAAAGGTTTTGGTATCAGAATGACTCTTATTTATTTTATACAGCATACAGGCTGTAGAATTGGTTTGTTGTTTAACGCAGCACTCAGCAATATTCCAGCTATATGTCAGAGGTCTGTAAATCATCGAGTCTGGACCAGATAATTGGGATATGATGACACAGGTCAACCAAGTCAGCGAGCCTGACCACCCGATCCCATTTGTCGCCTCTTACGACAAGCATGTGTTACTGAAGACCAATTCTAACCCATATCTTCACAGGTATGTACCCATGTGAAGATTGAAACCTGCTCTCTGGTGTGACGAATAAACGCTTTAACTACTAGGCTACTCCAACAGCCCTTCATGGTGGAAAGAGTGTGATTGTATATTTCTTCAATTGATGATTGTTTTTGTAAATTAATTAAAACAGCAAACTTCCTCTTGATGCTTAATGCCAAATTCAGCAATATTCCAGCCAAATGACATACATTATCCCCACCGAACCACACAAACCAGTGATTGATCTCAAAAACAAAGTTTGTGGAAACAATGACATACAATCAACTGAGCCTGACCATCCAATCCACATAGTGAACTGGACCAATTCTAACCAGAATCAAGACAGGGAGAAAATTTGCCTACAGTCAAGCATGTGCAACTTACAGCATTAGCAGGGAAGGCCCTGATCAAGACTGGGGTGAATCCCCTGTAGAGAGCCAGGGGTCCTTCCTCCTTCATCATGTGTCGGAATACATCCCGGATCCCACTGTACATACCGTGGGGCTGCAGCACAAACACGGCAGTGAGACTCAATTCAATCAATACAAACTCAGAGATATGAATACTTTTCTTGGTCCTGACTCATGCCAATTGCTTATCTCTTCATTCTCTTGAAATGCAGAGGCAATTTCCTGTGTTGTGTTCCAAAAGAACACAAAAACATGTTATTCAAATGAACCCTTGACCCATGCAGGCATGCCGGAACCATGTGACTATGCCGGTAGACTAGTCACTTTCCCCTCTTTTAAGCAGAGTGCAAATTGGGAAATATTTTCTCTGTTACAATCCGTGCCATCCCCTCTAAATTATGTGTTTTAATCCAAACATTTTATCCAGATTACATTAGTCTACAGTAGACTTATCATATACACTTTTTATTTTCACTGAAAACATTATCACAACTCCCTGGTTATCATTCCTTAACTGGTATTACAATCAATAACTGTTTTATTATTTCAATAAATAATGTTGTAGATATGCCTTTGTGTAACATTCAGAAATTTGTTGTCCATGAAGAGGCTGTCACATGAAGAGGCTGTCACATGAATAGGCGCTGTCTCGTTGACTATGAATACTGTACTGTCACATTCTTATAATAATGATTCTGATACAGATTTTATCCCGATACATATTGTACAAAGGCATTCCCATAATTTAAACCATGAGACATACTGTATGGAGACATTCCCATGATACTCGTAATGCGAAATTCCTGAAATTATGATCATGATACATATTGTATGAAAACATCCCAATAATTCTGATCATGGTATATGTTACGATTAAAATTATGATTTTACATAATACTGATCCAGATACAAATTGCATAATGACATTCTGTCTGTATGGTTTGACGATTATGACAGTTCATATTCCATCAATTTCACTAAACTGACATTAGCAATTGGTCTCCATATTCATTACTAAATTGCTGAACAACCAGGGGTGGAAATAACCCATTGCCCGACGTCCGAGTCCAGTGTTTTTTTCTGTCGGGCAAGCAAATTTGTACATCACACTGTACCGGTGTCCAGTTGACTTTCCACTGTTAATTATGTTGTTTATTTTAAAAAATCAAGAAGAAAATGGCCGGTATAGAGGAAAAATTATCAGGACAAGTGATTTTACATGTGCCACTGTACCGGAGTACACTAGCAATTTTAAAGTTACTTCCACCCCTGACAACACAGTCATTAAATTTCCCAAGTGTTGAGTGAATATGTTTGTTTACATTGCTTTTAGCAATATTCCTGCAATATCACAGTGGAGGACACTGTATGAATATTGAGACCAATTTATGAATATTGGTACCATTATATGAATATTGGGACCAATTAATGAGTTTGTGAGTGAGTTAAGTTCTACGCTGCTTTTAGCAATAATTCAGCAATATCTCAGGAGGGGACACCAGCAATGGGCTTCACATTTTGTACCCAATTCTGGAATCAAACCCCGGATCTTCGGCATGCCGAGCCAATGCTCTAACAACCAGGGTGCTCCACCGCCCCTTCAATTGTGGAGATGGCCAAAACTCACCTGTCTGGAACCTGGACTTGAGCACATCTTGTGGCATAGCAACCATCCAGTTGGCAATCCCAGCCATTCCACCAGCTAACAACAGCCTTCCAGCACCCAGGTCACTAGTCCTGGAGACACAATGATCTCACATCAGTCTGCAGTACTCGCAACAAGCACAATGTACAGAGAGCTACTAGTAAGGACAAGCTTTGAACATTTTAGGTTACCGTGGTAATGCAACTTTATCATCTTCAGAGTATTCAAACATAACTGCATTTAATTCAATATTGAAAATAATAAGCATTAAAGCCAGGAGTGAGTGAGTGAGTGAGTGAGTGAGTGAGTGAGTGAGTGAGTGAGTGAGTGAGTGAGTGAGTGAGTGAGTGAGTGAGTGAGTGAGTGAGTGAGTGAGTGAGTGAGTGAGTGAGTGAGTGAGTGAGTGAGTGAGTGAGTGAGTGAGTTTTTATGATGCTTTTAACAAGATTGCAGCAATACCATGGCGGGGGACACAAGAAATTGGTGTAACACACTGTACCCATGTGGGCGAACACTTTAACCACTTAGCTATCCCGCCTCCCCTCATGTAGTTAATGATTACAAACCACCTGCCCCTTTCAACTTACGTTTTTCCCTCTGGAGTGAGCACCCGCTTCAGCCATTCGTAGCTCATGAAATACATGCCAGTTGCTGGCACGTCCCTGCAGAGTGTGGCGAATGTGCCACGGTACACGCCCCTTATCCCGGACTCCTTGTACAGCTGCTTCATACAGTCGATGGGGCCCTTGTACTTGGCCTCACCCCCTGCAGCTTGCTGGATCTGTTCACCATCAACATCAATGGTCAAGCAGGGAGTGAGTGAGTGAGTGACTTTAGTTTTTACGCCGCTTTTAGCAATATTCCAACAATATCACAGCGGGGAACACCAGAATTGGGCTTCACACACTGCACCCATGTGGGGAATAAAACCTGGGTCTTTGGCATTCCTAGAGAATGCTTTAGCCACTTGGCTACCCCACCGCCTGTCAAGCAGGTATCAAATTATTGCTTAATTTGCATGCAATGGCACAGAGAATATCAACATGACAGGGCAGAAAAATTTTCAATGTGCCCTTGCGCGACTAAAATTATGAAAATAATTTTGCAAAAGAACAACCTAAAACATGTGTCTGGTGCTCAATGGCATCCATAAAACAATTGAATTGATATCCACGTCAAGTCTCTATATCAAGAAGCAGGAAAAGACATTGTAATTGTAATTTAGAAAATTCTCTCCTGTTTGTGATTGATAATATTGATACATCGATACATCAATACTTTTTCTGTATCGATATTTAGTTTTGAAAGTATCAGTTTTAATCTGTATATCTATCATTTACATTTTGCAATTGTATCATGTTTTTTTATGTAATGAGAGTTATAAATGATTATTTGTTATGCACAAAAATGGGAAATTAGAACTTTTTAATCGCTGAGAATATAAAATGTTGATCTTTTCATGGACAATTATAAAATATGAAATACTAATGTTCAAAATGTAACTAAATTTACGCAGTAATGCCACGAAAATAGGCCTCTTGATACGTATCGAATCGTGACATGGGTATCGTGATAAGTATCAATTCATGAAACTTTTGTATCGTGACATCCCTAGACAATATCCTACCCATACTAACTCTGTTTCGTATATAAACAGAGCAGAAAAGATAAAAAATGAAATCACATCAATATACAAAAACAGGCAGAAATTTTATCAATATTAAATTGAGTGAGTGAGTTTACTTTTATGCCACACTCAGCAATATTCCAGCTGTATGGTGGAGGTCTGTAAATAATTGAGTCTGGACCAGACAATCCAGTGATCAACAGCATGAGTATCAATCTACGCAATTGGGATATGATGATATGTGTCAACCAAGTCAGTGAGCCTGACCACCTGATCCCGCTAGTTGCCTCTTACGACAAGCATGGGTTACAGAAGATCAATTCTAACCTGGATCTTCATGATAAAACTCAAAATAGATACGTGTACCCAACTCACAACAATGATGTTAATGCAAATACAGATGGCAACCTCATGAACATTACAGCTATGACACACGACTTTACATACCTGCAGTAGACACTTGATTCTCTCTCCGGGCGTCATGATGACGGTGGTCATCACGCCCGCCATCATACCAGCGTTGAATGTCTGGATGTGCCTAGAGACATATATATTCACATCATTTTCCCTTAAATGCAATGACCTCTCCTAAAACAAATACAAGCAGGTACTTCATAATTATGATATATAGCAGAACTGCTTTTTGACATTTTGTTTCAATATCTTAGCTGTGATTTGGCATTTTATTGAAACATACTGATTTCACAAAAATAATGTGAACTGTATTTGTAAACAAGTAATAAGTTATGTTAATACCTCTCCATATTGCAAACAATAACAATTAATGTCAACAAGGTTTGTTGTATACAAAGTTTCAAATGCCATAAGTGAAAAGTGAAATATCAGTAGCATATCTTTTAACACTAATACTGGTGGTGGTGTGTGGTCCTGTGCATATCAGATGAAGTTAAGCAATATTGGTCACAGAGAGGTCAGGTGAAATTGGGTTTAACGTCGTGCTTGAGAATATTTGGCTCATATGACGACGTGCATGCGTGTGTATGTCTATGTGCGGTTGCTTGTACTAGCCCAGACTTAAGCTGGTTTTATAGTGCTAGCCCACTGAGATACCATGCCGCAGTGAAGCATGAATACCCCACTCAGACACATTATACTGACTCCAAGCCGACCAGTCCTTGTTGTACCCATTAATGCCGAGCGTCCAGGCAGGGACCAACAAGTACCATATTTTAACGTCTTTTGGTATGACGCGGTCGGGGATCGAACCCGCGACCTTCCGCTCTCCGGGCGGACGCTCTAACCACTACACCACGGAGGAGGTCTTGGTCCCAGAGAGCCCTTGTTCAGCAGCTTGACTCCTGAGAGTTTCTAGGACGTCAGTCCTGCCCCACAATGAAGCACATGTGAAACTTGTGGTGTCACATTAGGCAAGTGAGTTTGTTCACAATTGCCTCTGTTCACCCAGCAGTGAATGGATACCCAGTGCAATAAGATGGTCTTATAAGTGTTGATTTCTAGCGCCTCACAGGCAGCTAGGGTTAACTGGGGTCACATAATAATGTCTGCACTTTGCGAATAATTTGTCCTTATGGCCACTGAGCATCTTTGAGGGGATATTGTGCACTCGACCAGTGCACCACTAACACTAAAACATTGGTAATAGTGTTACAACTGTTACAGATTTACCTAAAAATCTATGCTAGATATGCAAATTGTAAGTTATCAAAAATATATTCCTAATGGTTATATTTCATGTTACAAACACGAAGGACTCACGATAGCTGCTCATCTGGAGTTCTCTGCTGCAAGGTCTTGCCAACGCCATATCCGTAGAAGCATATAGCAAAGATCGGTGCCACGCCTGCGATGGGAGCTGCCATACCCTTATACAGGCCCAGGACGCCCTGGCAACAGACAGAGATGTTAAATTCTTGTTCAAATACATGTAGCGGATTTGTTACGTCTGTCCAATCAATCACAAGCCAAGCTTTGTGTCTACAGGGTTAGCTAGTTGGTTTGTTGTTTAACGCCACACTCAGAAATATTCTCGCCTAGATGGAGGCGGTCTGTAAAATAATCAAGTCTGAACCAGAAAATCCAGTGATAAATTTCATGAGCAGCTACCTATGCAATTGGGATATGATGCATATGTCAACCAAGTCAGCGAGCCTGAACACCCGATCCTGTTAGTCACCTCATTCGACAAGCACGGGTTACTGAAGATCAATTCTAGGTGTGTCTACAGGGAGTTAGTGAGGGAGTGAGAAAGCATGGTTTTACACCACCTTCAGCAATATTCTAGCAATGAAGTTTGTTTCATGTTAGAATTTTAGGGGTACTGGAGGTTTGCTGTTAAGTGAGCGAGCATTTGGGTCCCTGAATAATCAACTCTTCCTTATAACATCAAGCTGATTTGTTACTTGAGTTACAGAATTTATCTGTCCAATTAATCACAAAACCAAATTGTGTGTCTACATTGTTATCTGACATGGACTGTCCAAACAACGTTTCTTTGAATTCACAATGCCTTTAAGAAAGTGGTCAAATGCAACACATGTTATATCCTGAATTACACTTTCTCAGCAAAGTACAGATTCTAGTACTTTTGTCCAAACAGGTCTTTCTTCTATAAATAGCATTTACAAGTCAGTAGCTGTAATACCCTAAGTAGTGAGTCCAAAGTTCAGTCAGTGTACATGCCACAGTGATTTGGGTAGTTTAAACACAGCCACTGAGAAAACAGTTATATTCTTAGGAAAGTTGCCCACAATAGCCTCAGTAAGACATTTAAGATGGAAATGTTAAGCATGATATGGTAAATAATTATTTGGATCAAATTAGTCTTGTCAGTGGGATACGTCTCTCCAACATCAGGCAGCACTCAGCATCATTTTGAATATCTTATTAGAGGATACTATATAGTTATGTAGGCTGTTCACCAAAGTTACCAGACTAAACCGAATTTTACTACTGAGCTTCAGTGAAGTGGCTAAAGTTGTACACTGACCTCCTGCCTAATTGTCTTTAAGGCACAGTCCAATGTACCCTTGTATAAGGGAGACTGTCCTGGTTCAGGTTTCGGCATTGTTTGAAGTCGCACCTGTAGAAAAAGACATTTTTCATCAGTTATAATCTGGAGTGGAATCACTGATTTTAGTCTGTTTAGGTCTTAAATTGATAATGAAAAAATTAACCACTTTCTGCAATGTCTTAAAGGTACAATAGTGTACAACTTTACTTGTCAAGAGACTGATATAAACCTGAAACGATAGTATATTAGTATCACTTAAACATGCTTTACCATGTTTACAGGCAGAGACTACAGACATATATGACACTGAAAGATATAAAACAATACTTATGATGAAAGTTCAACACATAAAAAATACAATTAATTTCATGAGGTGTTAGAAAATAGAGATTTTTTTGTGACAATGTTTCAAAATCCTTTTTTCGATAGATGAATTGCATTTCATTGTGATAAAATGATAACTGCTCCAATAATTTCAATGGAATGGTCGAGTACCAATACCATTGCGAACCAGCTGACATCTTAAGTCCAAAGTCCAACAGACAAACAAATCCATTAATTTGTGACATTTGCACATACATACCTTGATTGTGTCAAGAGGATGGCCAGTTGCGACACAGCATACTCCTCCAACTCCACCTGCAATGAAGTTTTTGACACCTTCCATGTTTTCTTATCAGCAAGTCCCACACTCACGAAATAGCAAAATAACCACGACTGTAAACTAGGCGACTGAACTGATTCTCGCTTGTGTCGGCTTTGATGTAGTAAAGCAAGGCTAGTGAACTTTGGCCTCTCGGTGATTATGCAAGTCACGGACGACTGGGTCGAGGTTTATGCGTTATGTCCGAACCTGTGACTTGACCGATGCTGAACCGGTTCTGCTCGCCTGCACCCGTGAATTTCAAGCCAGGAAGGTTTTACAGTTATCTGCCCTCGGTAAGAGTTGTCGTTCGTGAAACACGGCGATAGAAACTGGTACTAATAATGGGATACGCAAACGCATCTGAACACAACGTTCTATAGACCGGTGTCAAATACAATTCCATCTGTGAACTCTCATCTCTTTAATAATTTACAACATGACGAACGAACCTACTTATATATATGTTCCGTGCATGAATTAAATGCTGCTCTGTTTGTTAAATTATTCGATACATAACAAAATTATACATGTGTATAAATTCAGACGATTTTAATATTTATTAATGGGTCTCAGATCTAGAATGAATAATATGTCAAATGGTGTTCATCGATTGAAATGACGAACTAATACGCTCAATATTATGTGGAAAAAAAATTGGCTTTGAGATAGATCATTCTTCATAATTCATGCCATTATTCAGTCAATCAGTTCCCCAGACTATTATTAAATAACCAGGGACTTATATATTATGATCATACATGGGACAGCGAACTGTTGGTGGAACTAGCCATTATCAGAGAGAAAGGAAGACTGTAGATTATTCCTGCTATTATATGACTGAATCAGGAACAGTAACTTTCCACTTGTGGAGAATACATACGCACCACTCACATGCCATATAGTGAGTAATGCACGACCCACTTAATACGACAGCTGACAGTAGTTGTTTGGTAGAATTGGGAAGAATTGTGTCACCTGCAATAATGACCTATAAGAGTTTTAGGTCAGTGAAAGGTATATATAATTATCACCTACAAGAACAGTAATAATCCAAATTCCCTTCGTACTGAAAATACTATAGTATATGATAATGTTTATAGCAGTAAATAGAATTTGACTGGGTTTTATACGTTTTAAAATATTGACCTCATATTGACCTTCGGATCATTGAACACGTGTGAAGCTATATAGGAGCCTCCATTTCATTTGTGTCTGTTGGGACCATTTCAAAGTGTGTGTATAGGAGCCCATTCCATTTGTGTGTGTGTGTGCGTGAGTGCGTGCGTGTGTGTCATCCACTGACGAACACGTGTTAAGGTGTTCATTCATTCAATCATATATTTATTCAAACCAATTTTACATGTAGGTATGTTCTATAAAACAATGCTTTACATCCGTTACATCACTTTGGTAATAGTTGTGAACAATTCATTTTAAACATTCTCTTTCTCAACAGAAAACAAACGGACGCCACCTTACAGATATATCCTGTGGTGGAGAATTGTTTCAATCTGAAGTAGAAGACTGTTTCAAATGACTTTATTTTCTCATCATTTGACACTAAAAGGTCTCGAATAATATATCCCAGGGGGCTTAATGTTCCAACACATTTACCGATACTGGGTTTGTCGTGAATATGATTGGCATGTGGATCGTTGTCAGATCACAAGGTAACAAAGGAGGTGCTAATATAGAGAGAGAGAGAGAGAGAGAGAGAGAGGAGAGAGAGAGAGAGAGAGGAGAGGGAGAGGGAGGAGAGGGGAAGAGGAGGGACGAATGGGTGCTTTCATTTTCTTCTGATTAAGCAGTATCGGTTTTATACTGCTTTTAGCAATATTCCACCAATACCAATCTCTATAGCTATTTACAAACATATTTACCCAACATTCGTATGCAAAATATACGCACCGCATAAATACATACAAAATAACATTTTCATTCTAGTACCAAAACAATACCTGGCAACAATATCTTTACAATGATGTTTACACAGTTAATTAATACAATGCTTGACGATGCTTGGAAACTCAATATTGATTTGGATCATTCTACATTGGTTAAACATAGAGACTGCTATAGGTTACAGTGTCAGCTGGTAATAATTTCTCCTCATTGTAGTTCTTGAATACCTTGTCAAAGTTGCTGATGCATGCAGTGTCCCATTCTGGTTCCCGGGCCTCTCATTGGTTTATATAGAGCTCTATATAAACTAATGAGAGGCCCGGGAACCAGGATGGCAGTGTCATAGATAGACCATGTATATAATCTGTGTCTCTCTATACAGGCCTTACACGTATACCCGCGTCTCGCTATAAAGATAATGTGTGAATACACGAATGTGTCTCTCTTCACAGACGCCATGTGTTTACACTGACTGACTGAGTTTGGTTTTACGCCGCTTTTAGCAATATTCCAGCAACATCACGGCGGGGGACACCAGAAATGGGCTTCATGCATTGTACCCATGTGGGGAATCGAACACGGGTCTTCGGCGTGACGAGCCAACGCTTTAACCTTAGGCTACCCCACCGCCCCCCATGTGTTTACAGGTACCTCTTTAAACATAAGCACTGTACATGTGTAATCTTTCAATAAGGAACGTGTATGGAGACGTTTTCCTGTATATGCCGACTACCAGTGATACATTGTCTCTCATTTCAGAATTCTGTCTGCCTGACCCCACCCATAGGTGTACACACACACGCGCGCGCACGCACGCACACACTAGTGTTGGAAATTGGTTAAAATCTCATAATTGATGATTGGTCCATTACAACCGATCAATCATCGAAAATAATTGGCTAGCGTCATTTATCAAATGCTCCTGTTGTCTTTGTAAAAAATATTTAAAAAAACATGTAGTAATTTGGTTTTTTTTGCAAATTAAACAAAATCCATTTGCAAATTTTGCATATTTAAAGGATTATTAGTATGTTAGGAACACAGATTTCCTGGATTCTTTAAGATAAATTAAATCATGACTTGGAACGAGCTTGTTGCGCTTATAGAATGCAAATTTAATGACACAGACAAAAGCAACATTGTGAAAAATATTGTTGATGCAAACAAGTGTTCCAAGATTGGTTGCGTTCGATTATGAGAAAACATGTTCGATTGCTTGGTCGTTTAGTCACTTCGACCAATCTTCTATTATTTCAATTATTCGGACCACCTCTAGCTTTCACACACACACGCACGCACGCACACGCGCGCGCGCGCGCACACACACACACACACACACATGGTGTGTACATTACAAATTAATGATCTTAGATGCATTGCATGATAAATAAGGATAGCTAAATAATTTGTAAGTTTACAATCTGATGATGGCATGAGGAGTTTGAATTTAGCTTTACCTGGATTAGTACAATAGGTTTTAGGTAAATAGTTTTCATTAAATCCATGCTTGTCGTAAGAGGCGACTAACGGGATCGGCTCGCTGTCAGCGTATCCCATTTGCGTATAGATCGATGCTCATGCTGTTGATCACTGGATTGTCTGGCCCAGACTCGAATATTTATACCGCCATATAGCTGGAATATTGCTGAGTGCGGCGTTAAACAACATGCATGCAACAATAGAACAACACATGTATACAGAAGGCTACCTTATAGATATGTGCACATATACACAATGTCTCTGTGTAGCTGTACAATTATTGTACACATATAGACATTAGGAGGGAATCTTATGCATTCAGTTTACGCGAGAGTCCATATTCTGTTGTTGACGTAAGAGCGGACAGCAGGCAATACGTCGTAACAGGCCAAACTGTAGTGTACCTCATTCCTCACCTGTAGGTCACACAGCCCTGGAGATTATAGGTATAACGTTATGTATAAGCCGGCAATAACATCACAAGGAATCATTACGTTGTATTCAGAGATCGCTAATAGCTGGTGTCTTACAAGTGAATGTCCTCGAATGTGTTTATCCTTTGGGATAAACTTACAACTTTAAAATCTTGTATTAATTACTTGTGATGAAGGAAGGCTTTTGCCGTACTTATTTATTGCCATACTTATTTATTGCCATGTAATCTAGCGCGTAAGTATCTAAATAGTTGTTTACATTTGACCAGTGTGACTGTTGAAAAACGTGAGGAAGACCAACAGTTTTCGGGGCGACGACGACAACGATGATGATTATGATTATGATTAATAAATTCTCATGAGTATACAATAGGTATGAACATAACAAGGGCATGACCCCATCCTATTGTTCGTTAAACAACTTTTGTTTGAGGTCTTTTTGAACCCAACCTTTTACATTTCTTTGTGTATATATGGTGTCCCCCGCCGTGATATTGCTGGAATATTGCTAAAAGCGGCGTAAAACCAAACTCACTCACTCACTCTTTGTGTATATACATAAGACCTGTATGCTTAAGATGATGCGTGTTTGAGCATGTAATTCCACGTGATGCCCCTGCGACATATAACCTAGACTACTCCAATATTTAGCGTATTTTAGTCGTTACTGCATGGTAAAATAGCTCCAGCAAGCATTCCTTGGTGAGTCGATCCTTTATCACAGAGAAAATTAAAACATGTTTAAACTTAATAGTCATCAGTGACGCAGACAATTTAAACTAAACTTGGTAAGCTTCTTCGGAATATAAGGGGTGGTCGGGTAGCCTAGTGGTTAAAGCGTCTGCTCGTCACACCGTAGGCCCGGGTTCGATTCCCTACATGGGTACAATGTAGCCCATTTTTGGTGTCCCCCCGCCGTGATATTGTTGGAATATTGCTAAAAGTGGCGTAAAACTAAACTCACTAACTCACTCTTCGCAATATCACATGACCCTTCTTCTATATTCCTAATGTTCGGCTTTTGTTTCGGTTTCAAACCCAAGAGCAATTCAATCCAAACTCACCTCCGCCCCAGGGGCTTTTACATATACCCCTTTCAGCCCAAGGAAATTAAGGGACTTGAACATGCACTGAAATCTTCACGGATTCCCTTGTAAAATGATTTACTCTGATATTAACAGGTTTCAAATGTTCATCCCCTGATGCTTGTTTACAATTCAATAATAACTTTCCTTGCCTCTACTGAAGAAGGTCCTCACAAACCTCTGAAATAGGTCTTTACAAACGTAGTCATCACCTGGTGTCCTCTGAAATAGGTCTTTACAAACGTAGTCATCACCTGGTGTCCTCTGAAATAGGTCTTTACAAACGTAGTCATCACCTGGTGTCCTCTGAAATAGGTCTTTACAAACGTAGTCATCACCTGGTGTCCTCTGAGATAGTGCTTTACAAACGTAGTCATCACCTGGTGTCCTCTGAAATAGGTCTTTACAAACGTAGTCATTACCTGGTGTCCTCTGAAATAGGTGTTTACAAACAGTCATCACCTGGAGTCCTCTGAAATAGGTCTTTACAAACGTAGTCATTACCTGGTGTCCTCTGAAATAGGTCTTTACAAACGTAGTCATTACATGGTGTCCTCTGAAATAGGTCTTTACAAACGTAGTCATTACATGGTGTCCTCTGAAATAGGTCTTTACAAACGTAGTCATTACCTGGTGTCCTCTGAAATAGGTCTTTACAGACGTAGTCATCACCTGGTGTCCTCTGAGATAGGTCTTTACAAACGTAGTCATCACCTGGTGTCCTCTGAAATATGTTTGTTATGTTCGACATTTGTATAGCACATTCGACATACTAAGAGCCTTTACATATAAGTCATTTCCAAATGGTTTGTCTATGAAATAGTGCTTTCACACATTCAATATAGTAAGATCCATGGGTCCTTTAAGAGGTTTCCGAGCCGTGGGGTAGTCTAGTTGTTAAAGCGTTGGCTCGTCACGCTGAAGACCCGGGTTCGAATCCCCACATGGGTACAATGAGTGAAGCCCATTTCTGGTGTCCCCTGCCGTGATATTGCTGGAATATTGCTAAAAGCGGCGTAAAAGCAAACTCAGTCAGTCAGTCAGTCCTCTAAAATAGGTCTTTACAAACGTAGTCATTATGTCGAGTCCTCTGAAATAGTACTTAACATATGTAGTCATTACCTGGTGTCCTCTGAAATAGGTCTTTGCAAACTTAATCAGTACCTACCCCAGGTAATTAACTCTGAAATAGGCCATATCGTAAGTGTATGGTAAAATAACCATGCACATCAAGGATGAGTGGGTTGGTTTGCAGCAATATTCCATCCACATCAGCATGTATACCACCATGGCCTGATAACGAGTGAGTTTAGTTTTACGCCGCACTCAGCAATATTGCAGCTATATGGCTGCGGTCTGTAAATAATCGAGTCTGGACCAGACAATCCAGTGATTAACAACATAACCATCGATCTGCGCCAATGGGAACTGATGACATGTGTCAACCATGTCAGCAAGCCTGACCACCCAATCCCTTAGTCGCCTCTTACGACAAGCATGGGTTACTGAAGGTTCATTCTAACCCGGACCCGGTCTGGCTTCATAATGAATATGGACTAGACAACACAATCAGTGGTCATGACCGTTGGCACCTTGTACAAAGTGATCGAAGCCTGAGGTGGTAGGAACTGCCATACTTTAACAGCCAAGAGAACGACTTCTTACAAAACTGTGAAAAAAGACCCTCCATCACCATTGAATAATGTAAATCAGTGTGGTAGATGATTTCGATGAGAATTTAAGCATTTTCATGTTCTCTGGCCACTTTTCTATGTGATCCTCAAACTATTTAGCTTGAATCTCGTTTGATCAACATTTGTTGTCGAACCAAGAGAATAGAATTCACCCTCTCTACACATCTGGATGAGCTAATCCTGTTTTAATCAGTTTTATATTTCTGCCAGCAGTTTCTGATGTAAACATGGTGAATGATTCGTAACACAGAGGTTGCTTTGTAAAACAGGGTCCAGCTTCAACATATTCTGTTGGTTATTCAGTCATCCTTACCAAGAACATAGCAAGAATTGAGACCAGTTTATATGGACTCTACGCCGTGCCGAAGGTATCACATTACTTGCTGTTGATAATTACTACACAGCTATAAATATTATTCCTGATATGCCTCTTCTGTTTGTAACAATGTTTCGTGATGCCATTTTGTGATGTATTTTTGTTTTGGAATCTAAAAGTATGTGTATCTATATGCAATATTTATATATGTTCGTCTCTTCAGCTAAAATGTTAGGGCAGATATTTTTTTCCACTGAGCCTACAGTTTTCCTTAAATGTGCTGGCTCATAAGGCTCTCAGTTTACACTGCTGAGTTTCAGACACTCTGACCAGATGCTCTGACCACTTAACTTGCAAAATGCCCCACTGAGAATAGTCCAGTGCTATTTTCTGTCGCTGTTCTCTCTTCATGCAACAGTAAAACAAACAAAACAATACAGAATATCAGTTTTAATATACATAAGAGCATAACAAGAACTTACTCTGGTACAATATTTACAATTATACATCCTAATATGACTTGTGGATGCAGCAAAGGACGCACAATGTGATGACAGTGGTGTATACGTGAACATGATTCAGGTACCAGATATACAGTTTAGAGTATTTATTCACATATCTGCCAAGTCCTGTGCACCTTCAGGAACAGATTGGGGCAGTCCAATGACAAACCAACAACAAACAATACAATGTGCATGTGTTGCCATTAGCTTATGATCATAAATGCGATACCTTTAGTTTGAATGAGAACTTGATTGAAAGAAATTTGACATGTGTCACAAACATTGATGCATTTCTTATCAGCACAGAAATGTCTCATAAATCTTAAGTAGAAGTCTCAAGTCTAATTAGTTTCAATCATGCCAATATTCATCTGCATCCTGGGGTGGAAATAACCCATTGCCTGACGCCCGAGTCCAGTGTTTTTTTTCTGTCGGGCAAGCAAATTTGTATATCACACTGTACCGGTGTCCAGTTGACTTTCCAATGTTAATTATGTTCTTTATGTAAAAAAATCAACAAGAAAACAGCTGGTATAGTGGAAAAATTATCAGGGCAAGTGATTTTACATGTGCCACTGTACCGGAGTACACTAGCAATTTTAAAGTTATTTCCACCCCTGGCATCCAGAGGGACTTGCAGTGGATATTATTTATCAGCATTTGTGATTTCTATGTGCAAAAGGCTAACATTAAGTGTCTGGTACAACCCAGCATCTGCAATAACATAGAATCAATTTTCAACTTCTTTTCATATTTTAGAAATTAAAACATGACTTTCTCAATAACATTATATTTTCTCAATACTGGTATCATGACATACAAACAGAATTATCGGGGGTACCCACATATTTACATATAAGACTAAATGGTGCATTCCGTTCTTGAAGTATTCTTAACATGATCCACGAACTGTCTCTATTATCAGACAAAATAAATATCAAACAAATCAAAACTAAAATCTTGCTTTGTCATGAAAGTATACAGAATACAGAAGTGGTCCCACTGCAAGTACTGAGCAAAATCATCAACCTATATGAATGTGTTTAATCCGATGTGAAAGACTTGTAATTATACAGGATGTACAAAATGATAGCTTGTGTAACTGTCAAGATTTGGTTTATATTATTTAATGGCTGTCTTGTGATAAGTTTGGTCAGATTAGGGGGAAAATCATGGTTATTAAATGTATTAACTGATGGAAATGAATTTGGATTTTGAACCCAATCAAAGGACTGTGGCACACCCAAAAGGTGAAGTCTACATGAGTTTTACATTCGACATGACTCGGGGGCCCCCTGAATTATGACAAACTGGGGCATAATACACACAAACATCTCAAACAAGAATGTAGCAAACTGATGAAACAGTAATAATCGTTTTCAACACTCATAACAATATAATCTTGTGAAATATAAATATTGACTACATCTTTGCATCTTTATCTTGTAACACAAGATGTCTTGAACCTGAATAAGATAAGTCTGCAGAGTGATAGTACATAGCCTGTTTAACCCAACCTAATGTTTGTTTAACCCTGGATCAGGGCTCCAGATAAGTTTTCAACATCAGGAGTACGTACTCCTTATTTGTTCAATATAGGAGTACTGGAAAACCTTAAATGTACATGTAGAGTACTGAATGGAAATTAATGGAGTATCAGTAATCTTGTGTTTCGTTTCATGTATGCACCACAACATTGATTCTTGTGTAAACAGGTCAATGAACAATAAAACAATACTTTTTCAGATAAATACGTTTGTAAATGATTCTAAGACCGTACACCACTGCTGTGGTGCGTATTTGCTACGTTTTCTAAATAATTTCCTACCGTATTGTGCATATTTTTTTATCCGTACATATGCCGATACAGCCCTTATCTGGAGCCCTGCTGGATAAATGCTCACACTGGCATTGGAAAATAACATTACATTTACCCCTCACAATAACCATGCTTTTACCAGTACAATCTGCCACAAACAATTTCTATGAAATTATATGTTACTGCTATTGGTCTATTTTATCCCACTGTGAACATTAAATATTCTACTCCAAATGAAACACCCTTGTCAAGGACATGGATCCCACTGGTTGCATGCATTAAGAATACAAAAAATATTTTTGTGAATTTATTGATCGTTGTTAGTCAAAATATTTAAATCCTTTTTTCTTCAAATCAGCTCTGGCTTCCTTTATTTGCTGCAAAAGAAAAAACAGGCATGCTTATTTGGAACTGATAAAACCATAGGTTACCATTGGTAAGTAGTAAGTGAGTGAGTTTAGTTTTACAACGCTTTTAGCAATATTCCAGCAAGCCCTTGGTAAGTAAGTAAATTGGATAAAGACTTAAAACAACTATTAGCAAATTATCATTGTTTACACCTCAATAATATAAAAATACAGCTGTCCTTGAAATGCACAATAAATAAGAAAATATGACATGAAATATTTGCATTGAAATTACGCTATAAGTGTGTGTATCAACAAATAGTGACAGTCAAAGGGAGACAATCATATACCACATGGGACTATCAATCATGGATAGAGGCAGGTGTCTTTAAAACCTCCTTATTAACCTATACTGCAGCGTATGCACAAAGGGTGCTTGTGGTAACTGGGATTAAACTTTATTTGTTTCATGTGTGCCTCAGATCACACAAAAAGATGTTCTGCTTTAAGGTTTTCAGGTGAAATTTCAGTGAGGTAGAAACACTTTTCATTCAAGCTGTAATTCTTCCAAAATATTTTTGAAAAAATTATGTTTCAAGTGACATTGGCACTCTAAAACAAGGAAATTTTAACCAAAGTGAGTAATACCAGTACATCAAATGTTAGTCTTGAATAATGATTTATTTACTTTAATTCAAGGAAACTTGTGTTCCAACTGTACCTCCTGTCAAGCTCCACAAGGAGCAATAGGGAGCCAAATCTACCACATTGCTGACAACAAATTCTCACTAACCATAATTCTTAATTAGAATTATATTTACCCTTTTTAATTCTTCTGATGCATCCACACAGTCATTAAATGTCGCCACCCTATATCCCACCACAGCCAAAGAGTAACACTGAAATGACAAGAGATTATCATTGACAAACATATCTACTTATGACAAAATATTTACAATCTCTGGTTGAATTTTATCTACTGTTTGAGAAAAAATGTAATATTTTAAGTAAAATTGATATTTTATACTTATCCTGACTCATGATCTTTTGCTTATCTCCCTTTTCCTTGCGATTGGTAGTGGAACACTTGAATCCCTTGTAGTTCCCGACGCGGATGTAAAAATACACTCACCCACGAGTTACCTCCCTGTTTTCCCATGCAAACAGTCATGTGACCAGCCTTACTTGTCACTCTCTCCTGATTTTTCTGCCCATGCACCTGGATCTACTGTGAAATCCGAAGTGTTTCCAGCGGGAAGGTTGGGAGGGCTTCTCCTCATGAGTCAGGATAAGTATAAAATATCAATTTTACTTAAAAAATTACACATTTTTCCTTATCCTGACTCATGATCTTTTGCTTATAGAATCCGACGGATTGTGGGGGGTCAAGCCACTTCCTGGATTCATCAGCTGTCCATAGATACGTCCTGTATCCCCCCCATAGGTACTGCGTAACAGCATTTCCTAGATCCTATTCTTCCAATTTCCGTTATAACTCGGGGGAGACTACCATCTTGTCATACTTCTCTCTCAGACAAGTGAATCTTCTAGATTCATGTGGCTTAAAATATACTAGTATCTTCTTTTTACTAGTTATCTATAACAACCCATAGATTATGATAAGATCTTTATCATAAATGAGTTGCGACCCCTTTACGTACAGGTAAGATCTTTACCCGTACAGAGTCTTAATAATCACTCATGCTAGCCTAGTCTAGACTGTGCGCATGGACTTTCAAACTAGAACTTTTCCCATAGTAAAAGTTATCAACAAGTCAACGCGATAAAAGGTGAGATTCCAACTCAGCGCCTTTGAGGAACCGTTAGTTGTTGTGCTACAAGAGGCCCAAACTGGTGAATGCTGGAGATGTCTTCAGTGGCTATGTCTCGGAGGTAGTGGTTTGCAAACACTGTATCCGACTTCCAGAAGCAGCCCTCCATAATTGATGATATAGAGCAATTCCCATGCAGAGCAAGTGTTGATGCCAGTGCTCTGACTTCATGTGGGTTGGAGGCTCTTGGCGATTTTAATCCTGCTGCTTTGTAGGCTCTTAGTATAACGGCTCTCATCCAAAACGATATTGTCGTTCGTAAGACTTCCACGGCGGTCTCTGTCGACAAGGGGATGAATAGGCGCTTGAATTTTCTTCTCCTTGTTTTAGTCTTTTGAAGATATATCTTCAAGGCTCTGACAGGACACAAGGATAAGTCCTGGGTGTCCTCTGGCCCGAGGATTGTAGATAGCGCTGGCACATGGAACTGTCTATCTGGTTGACCAGGTAGTTGATTCTTTGCAATAAGGTCCCATCTAGATGTACTGCAGCACAGTGCCCTGTGTCAAACCTAGTTCGTCCAAAGTCCAGCGCATGTATCTCAGACATACAAGCTGCTGTGGCTAGGGCAAGCAGAGACAGAGTTTTCTGTGTGAGTAGCTCGAAGGTAGTCTGTAGTTTGTAGGCATCACTCATGAGATGACGTAGAATTACATTCAGATCCCAGGCTTGAGCTCTGAATTTCTGTTGCTGGTCCTCCAGTTTAAAACATCGCAGCAGAGCTAGTAATTCTGGTACTTTTGATGCCTGACTTTATAGTGATGACTGTACTGATGGCTGCCAGATATGCTGATAATGTCGAACCTTTCAGATGTCTATGGCGGAGTATCCTCTTTTCTTCAGACAGGTTTTGATACGGTCCACACGTGTAGCTGGAACAGTGTTGGGTTCCTGTGGACTTGCTTGGTGTGCGGATGTCTGAGTAGGTTCGGCCATTCTGGTAGTTTGAGGGTTGGACTTCCGAGATCTTCTATTAGGTCTAGGATTAAGACTCTCGTTGGCCAGTAGGGCGCGACCAAAGTCAGTTGTAGCTCTTGTGTCTGTTTGATCTTCAACAGTACTTTCGGTAGTAAGATCAGAGAGGGAAACGCGTGAGCGTTTAGTCCTTCCCATGATATGCTCAGTGCATCTGTTGCCCAGGCTTGGGGGTCTGGTACTGGTGAAACAAACGCCTGTAGTTGTTTGTTGAACCTCGTGGCAAACAGGTCTATGCATGGGGATCCTATTTCCCTTATAATGAGCCGGAACGCTTCTGGATGGAGCATCCATTCTGTGGGTGATGGATGAAGTGGTCGGGAAAAAGTGTCTGCTAGTACGTTCTTGGCTCCCGTGACACACCTTTATCCAGATGTTTGCCTTCTCTGTGATGTTGAACAACTGGAATGTGAGCTGCAATAGGCTTGGCGATCTTGTTGATCCTTGCCGTTTATGGAGAATGTCACTGTAGAGTTGTCCATGTGGATCATCAGCATTCTGATGCTCAGCGAACTCGACCATAGTTGTACCGCGTTGATCACAGCTTTCGATTCTGGCAGATTGATGTGAAGATGCTGTTCTGCATTTGACCACTTCCCTGATGCAACTTGGTTGTTGAGATGTGCACCCCATCCCTGTAGTGATGCATCTGCGTAAAGATGTGTGTCGAACACCGGCTCTTGTAAATTGGTCCCTCCACAGTCATTCGACCTGTGAGTCCACCAAAGTAGGTACACTTTGAGATGTTCTGGTAGCGAGATAGGGTCGCTGCTGTCCAGATGTTTTGCCAGGAATCGTTGCAATGGCCATAGTTGTAACCTTCCTGTGCAAGTCAAGTCTTGTGCTGAGGTTAGTAGACCGAGTAAACATTGCCATGTTCGTAGTGTTAACGGAGAGATGACTGCTTGAGGAATCATGGCTTGTATCTTGACCCAACGATCTTCTTGGGTCACAATTCGATTCTGTGTTGTGATGAATCTTATCCCCAGGAATTGTAGATCTTGTTTTGGTTCCAACTCCAACTTCATCAGGTTCACTAGCCATCCTAGTTGCGTGAGCAACTTGATTGTGAAGTTCAGCTGCTGGCTGAGTTGATTGGCACTTTGATGAAACTGTATGCCGTCGTCCAGGTAAAAGGCATTGCGTAGACCTCGATGATGTAGGTAGGCGACTATGGGATTGGTTATTTGTGTGAATAACCACGGAGCCGACGATATTCCAAACGGTAGGACATTCCATTGGAAGTGCTGACCTCTGAATAGGAATCGTAGATATTTCCTTGATTCCGGATGTATGGGGATGTGTAGATATGCATCCTGGAGGTCTATGCTGGCCATAAAGTCTGCTGGATGAATTAGTAGTCTGAGTTGAGGTAGGTGGATCACTCTGAACATTTCCGGTTTGAGTAGATAGTCTTGGTTGAATTTCCGCGCATGTTGTAAATCAACCTGAATATCTCTTTGGAATTCTTCTTGGGTACCAGGAAAATTGGGGAGTAGAAGCCTGGTGTGAGATGATGTTGATCTATTCTTTCTACCGCATTCTTGGTTAGAAGCGAGTTGATGGCTTCTTGTAGCTTGTCTGCTTGCTCATCTGTATAGTTGAAGACCATCGGTCTGAGGGTTAATGGTGGTGTGGCCTTGAGCTGCACTTTGTACCCTTCTCGCAGTACTTGTGAGACGTAGTCCCGCCTCTAAAGTTGGAGTACTTCTTCTCCTTAGCCTTCTGGATACCGGAATATTTCGACTTGCTGTTGTACTTCTGCGAAGTATGACGAATGACGTTGGCTAGAGTATCTATAGACTTGATCATCATGACTTCCCTTGAGTCCTGAGTAGCTTCCTTAGCTGCTTCATCTATCTCACCTCCGAAGATGGTAGGCCCCCGCCCAAAGAGCTCTTAGTAGCAGTTGGGTAAATCTGTCACTCCAGGAACACGATGCCAGTAGACCCTGTCTCCATAATAAGGTGAGATCTGCCGACGTTGAGGCCAGATGATCTGATATGAAGTATTGGTCCTTTTTCTAAGTGAGCAGAGCAGATAATATCATTCTATCTTCTTCCGAACTGGGGTTCTGGAACTTGTTAATCAATGCCTCATTGATTGCTCTGGACCTCGCTAATCCGAAGAAGGATCTCCTTGTCGCTGTATCAAGTTGAGCCAACTTTTTATCCTCCACCTTGCAGACCTTGTTCCGAGAGTCGTTGACCAGTTTTGTATTTTCATCTAAGTCCGGCGCTCTCATGAAGGGGTCCATGTGATGTAAGGGGAATTTCCTCGCATTAAATGCTGGCAGATGTTGATTCTGGAATCTAGTAGCTCTGTCAAAAGATGTGCGTAGATTCGAAGGCACCTTGGATATAGGCTCAATAGGAGGAATGGTGACTGAGTCGAAGTCGTCCTTGCACATCTTATATGTGTAAACTTCATCCAATTCCTTGGAGGGAGACTTTAAGTTCAATCCATTAGCTATCCAAGCTGTAACTTCCGTATCTGAAAAGACATAGTCGGTATGTTCATCAGATAATTCTTGTTCCGTAGAACTATGCCTATGCGAATCCTCCGTGTGCGAACCTTCCTTCGCGAATGTCGTGAGTCATCCTTTCGCGAACCTCTGTCTCGTGATTCCTCCCTTCATGAACCTCTGTCTCTTGATCCATCCCTTCGCGAACTAGTCTCTTCGCGAACTTCCTTCTCATGAACCTTGCCTTCGCATGTGAGAGCTGTGAGATGTAGATCTGGAACGGCTGGCACTTGCGGATGCATTCCTAGGCGTTCTCGAATGTTGAGGGTTCGTAGACGAAGTTCTCGTAGAGTTAGTAGCCTTCGCGGACCTTCCATCTTGTTCTATGATGACAGAGTCGTCCGATTGTGATGACCTTCTCGAACGTTTACGTTCGCCAACGTTGTCTGCAGATGTACATCTGAGAGGCGTATTGGATCCGCGTAGGTCTGAGGGTTTGTGAACGTTGTAAGTTGATGAGCGTTCCTGTCGTGCCTTCGCTTCCTCATCAGAACTTCGTTCCATCATGGCCATCATTTGAGAAGTAAATTGCCTCATAAAGTCGCAAGGATCGAAGTTCTGCGTTGACTGGAACTGATTCGGCGTTGATGAAGCGTTTGCGAATGCTGATGTGTTGTGTGCTTCAACTTCACTGCATTGAGAAGTTGATGGTTGGTTGTTAAACAGCAGGGCCACTGTTGTAGTTGCAGGAGACGATCTAGAAGTCGTAGAGGACGACTGTGTCGCCGATCTAGTAGGTACTTCAGGCAGAAGTAACAGTGGTTTATCAAACACGTCTGTCTCGTGTGGTAGAATGATCTCCTCATTAAACAACTTCTGGTGAGTTGACTTGCTAGGTCGTGTGGATTTCGATAGAGACCTAGTAGTAGTTGCTCTTTTCTGCGTTGTGGGAGAAGCAGTAGTCTTTTTCTTAATCTGAGAGGGCGTCAACTCCGTCGTAGCAGACCTCTTTTTCAACCCCCAACATATCCAACATAGCACCAGAATTATGTATATCTGCAGCAGCAAACAACTAATGGTTATCGGCTTGATCTCCAGGTTTATCAACAGTGACTTGTGATGACTTCCTCACCCGATCCATGGCACGTCTATAGATATAAGACAAATATTGGTTAAATTGCAAATTTGCAATATGTACTGCAATATGTACAACGTGAGTTGGAAGAACATGGGTTAATGCACGATGGGCATTGGGGGTGAGGATCAGCCACTGATAGCCGGTGCCTGCAAACAAGGCAAGATTTCATGAAATGTAAACATGTTACATTATGATGAAAACTGTCACAAATTACAATTTTTTTTACACAATTAATACATGATAGTTAAATCCAAATACCATACACAGCGTAATTTTGATAAAAAGGATCTAAATACAAAGGATATATGCCGTATACGGGACTCCAGTGCTCGCCCAATCATCTGCTTGGGCAGAAAAATGAGAGAGTGACAAGTAAGGCTGGTCACATGACTGTTTGCATGGGAAAACAGGGAGGTAACTCGTGGGTGAGTGTATTTTTACGTCCGATTCGGGAACTACAAGGGATTCAAGTGTTCCGCTACCATTCGCAAGGAAAAGGGAGATAAGCAAAAGATCATGAGTCAGAATAAGGAAAACTAACATTTCTATCATTATTTCAATATGGGCACTATGATTTAATGCCAGTAGTTACAGAACTGTTTTAACAATGGAAAGAATTCACGATAACATTCAGCAAATTACTTATTTTCCTGAAAAAGGAGCAAGATCAATTTTCCACATGTTTTATTTTTTGTGAGTATTCCAGCTTTCTGAGTCAATATAACATAGTTAAGCTTTAAACTGTAACAATAATGTGACACCTTATCACACCTGAAGATCAAATAGCATACATTTTGCTGAAAGTGATTTTTATACAATATTGGGGATAAAGATATTTGTATACTTACAGCAAAACACATCAGCAGATACAGGGGCATCTGAAAGAAATACTGAGTTTGTTTTAATGCTGTTTTAAACAGAATTGCAGTTGTATGATGCCATGTCTTCTTCATGTGGAAGGAAAGAACAAAATAATGCAGACCTAAGATGTCAATATAGTTATTAATGTGGTAAAGAACCAACATGGGCAGAGTGAAGAAGCCATGACAGAAAAATAGGTCAAATCAGAGGTTTAAATCAACTGTAGTCACAAGTCTAGGGGAGATAACTCTCATTTGTTTTAATTCTTGCCAGGTGTCCTGTTAATACAGTTATCACATAGCGAAGTGACATAAGTTTCATTAAATCCTCATCAGACAGCACTTCAAAGGGACACAACTCTGCATGGTGAATTCCAAATGACAAACCATTGTCCTCAGAGTTGGGATTAAATCTGCTTTAAACAGCTTTTCATTTACATTATGGCATGGCATCTTGATGTTGGAAGACAGTTGAAGTGATCATGGTCGTACATGTTTTGGACTTTGGTCAAATTGGGAATTATGCTCAAAACTGATGATCCGGCTTTAAACAGTATATCAGTGTTATAAAGTCTTGACTAAAAGACCTGATTGAACGTACCACTTGCACAACCTCCAGACAGTTTCCTGGCATATCAAGTTTCACGTAGCCAAAGACTATGCTGAACCATACTGACATCAGCAGGCTGACGCCAGTGAGCCACTGGAACAATTTGGGAATCTGGAAATAGAATAACATATAGACATCATGACATTAAAATGGTAAAGTAAAGTGCATTATGCTATTATATTTGTTAGATCGAAAATGTCTTCTACCAAAGGCAGCTTTACATAAACAAAGTGACATTAGCTTAAATCTTTGATTTATCAAAATATATGATACCAAAGGTACATGTGGAAGCTTTATCTTAAATGTATTAATTCATCGTGCACAAAATCTGCTCTATTTCATGAAATATCCATGGAACGTACTATTAGAGTTGTTAATAAATTGTTATAAACACTGAGTATGGTGAGTAATCACAAAAATATTTTCATGTCAGATATTTAACTTTGGACTTATTTCATCCCCAATTTTTATGAAAACAGTTGATGCCGATCATGCGACAAATAAAAAAAGACCAAACAGCCTGAGCCTGATTCACAGAACCTTTGGCATGTATGGGGAGTGAATGCTATTTCATGCCATTGTCAGTAATGCAAAAGTTGTATCACATAAGTGTGTAGGAATACTGTACACAACTGAGTCAGGACACTGTGAGAGCCTACTTTGACACAGTATATTGATTCCAAACTTAAAGCCAGGTTCCAGGCAGGGTAACAACAAGTCCAATAATTTAGTGAGTGCGTGAGTTTAGTTTTACGCTGCACTCAGCAATATTTCAGTTATATTGGCAGCGATCTGTAAACAATCAAGTCTGGACCAGACATTCCAGTGATCAACAGCATGACCATCGATCTGCGCAAGTAAACAATCAAGGGAACCAATGACAAGTGTCGATCAAGCCAGCGAGCCTTGACCACCTGATCCCATTAGTCGCCTCTTACGACAAGCATGGGTTACTGAAGATTCATAACCCGGACCTTCATGGGTCTTCAATAATTTAACGCCTTTCGGTATTTCACACCTGAGAATGAACCCCCTTACATTCCACTCTCCACACTTACGCTCTGTCTACTATGCTCCAATGCGACAACATCATGCACTTACGTAAGCACGAGCAGTGGTGACCTATTGTACATTTCAATAACCATGCGTTAAGGGAGGAGAGGGGGGACAATCTAATTATCATCAAGACTGCCTTGTTACTACATGCTTTACTTGAGGATTAAGCAATTCTAATGTCAAACACACTGACCCAAATGACATAAGGCTTAATATTACTAACAAACATTTGAACATATACTGTTCGATAACTCTGCCCGGACTCATATTTTTGGCAACATTTAAAGAAAATATTGCGCATTAATCCTCTAGCCTAAAGCAATGTCCCAAAGCTAAAGATTTCACTCATGCATAATTATGTGTTTCATAAGTGACTGAAAACACAAATTACACGTTGCATTATTTACACCTCAAAACATCTTCACACTATTCAGGTTACATCCTATTCAAGAATTTGTTTTTTGGGTAAAGTAGAGCTTGAAACTCTCACCTCTCACCATCCCCCCAACACATAAATATGATTTTTTAAAACATTTCTCCACATTTTATCTATTCATTGTCATAAATATATCTACATGTTGTTGGAAAATGTTCCTGATTAATCGTTTTAAAACAAGTAGGCTAATTAACAAGTTTGAAAGGCTGTTTGATCAGGTTGGCTATGGATCACAGCAAACACTGTGGGCAATGTGATAGTCGTAAAAAGATTTACTGATCTTACCCGGGGGCCATTAAAATGGGGAGCCTTGAGCTTAGATTATCTGGAGTAAACATTAGTGCAGCTTAGTACATCATATACCTGATATAATCCATGTTGATAACTACCTTATAAGCTCACCTTGCATCTATGTCAACATATGGATGGATACATTTCCTGGTGGAAATTACCTAACATTTATTTCTACTTTCACAGCAGTTAAAGAGATCAATCCAAGCAGCAAAATCCGTTGGGCACTGCTGTTACAAGTTGACATCCACTGGTTACTAATATATAGCGAGAAATGCAATAAACAGAATATTGGGAAAAACTACACAGCTTGTTCCCAATTGCCCAACCACTTTTAATACAATTATTTTTGCATCAGAATTGTATTTTGTCAAAATTTATGAGTCTGTAAAGAGAAGCCATGAAGTTAACATACCTTATGTCTCTTATGAAAATAGACTTCCAAAGGTTTAACCGTATGCAAAGATAAATGACTCAAGTACATGGGGGTGTAAAAATATCTGTGATATGTGCACTACACTGGGATGAAGGAGTTGTTGTCAGGAAGGGTACTACAGATATGTTTCCCTGGTTGCCGTTGTACACATTGTCGTAAATCTTTTGTATCCCCTTAGTGCCAATATCGCTTTGTACAACCACACCCTGGTATGCTTCTTTGCCAAATCGGAACACACACACATACCCTATAATGAGTCTATTCTGCATTCATCGGAATTGATCATTATATGAGAAATTATTATTGTGTCAAAAAATATTTTGTGATGCACAGTATCACATTGTAATGAGGCAATCTGAAACTACAACATGAACAGGTTTCAGGTTTTTGTTGAGGAATATGAACTTGTGAGCCATTGTGGGTACATGACTATGTTTGTGCATTTTGACTACCTTTAGGGACCGTTCATAATTTATGGCTGGGGGTTGGGGGATGATGGTGATGATGATTTTAAGAGGGGGAGGGGGTGTTCACCCATTTCGCTTCTGGGGAGTTAGGGGTCATCAATTTTGTACATGACATAATGTTTAAAACAATGCTTTGTACATGACATGCAGGGGTGGGGTGGGGTGTCACTTATTTTGTACAATTTTTATAAAATGTTTAATTTATTTATTTATTTATTGTGGTGGGGTGGGGGGTAATTCACATTGTACATGCTTCTCAATACAAATCATCATCATCCCCCCCTTGCCAAATTATGAACGGTCCCTTAGGGTATGCCCATTTCTGTATACAGAAACATACCTGAAACATACATCTTAGTACCCATGCCCAAAACTACCCATGAGCCCAGCCAAAGCCGGAGATTCAAACAACATCTGAATTTAGAAGTGTTGACGGTGTGATTCATAGCTATGTATTAGCGAGCTGTGGACGTTGGCTAGCAATAGAGCAGAAATCTCGTGATTATTTTTTGGGTAAATAAACATCATCAAGCGGTCATGACAAACATTGCATCAGACTTGTCAAGAAAAAGTCAATCAGCACACAAAACAGATATAACTCAGCTCAGATATCCAGAATAATGTTGCGAACAATTCATATTACTTCACATTTGAGTCAAGTAGGCACTAACTAATTATTCCGACAGTGTTAATCATTTCATACGCACATGCATTTCTCGTTCTTGTTCTCAGCTTCTATCGGATTTGACATAAGCCTACTGTTTTAACAGGACATGTACACCTCATCAATCAATAAACAGCCTCTGAAACTTGGCACTGCTGAATATATAAACACACAGGAAGAATTACCATTTTTCTAAGAACAAAAGTACATGCGGTCGGCTATTTCAAGAAAGTTTGCTCCAAATCCTTTGCCACGCCAGCAGACGAAAAGTGGACACGCGCCGGCAAAGATTATTCTAAAAAGTTAACCTTCGTCTGGAATATTTTCTCAGGGAATACTTCCAAAACAACTGTATTTAACTACCAAATAGATTTGTACATCCTATTTGTGCATATTTAAAATAACTGTGTTTACATATTTTGCAAAGATATCAGAATGTGTATTATCTTTCTTTATTTTAAATATAATTCCGTTTTATTATTCATTTACTTGAACTGTTTTTATAAATAGGGATAATAAAGTTCATTAGGTTTTTGCAATCATTTTCCAAACAATGTCATGAAAAAATTCAAACTGAAAAAAGATCTAATTAAGATATAATAAAATTCTATATAATGTATAGAATTATTATTGATTTGATTATATTAACTGATATTGTGCCCCAAAATTAAATACAACAATAAATTCTCCCTAACATAAAACGTTATGATGTATGTGGCTAAATGTCTTATTCTTTATAAGTTGGAGAAAATTAACTTTACGACCCACAAGATCGTTTTTAGGTGTTGATTAGCCCCGGGAAGCTAGCGTATTATCATCGTTTCATCTTCCTTTATTGCATACTTTTACGTCAACCATAAATCGTCACAGACGGTGTTGGGTAAAATAGTCCACTATGAATAGTGATGCGTAGAATTGGCACGAGTAAGAGAAAATAACTCAAAACAAATACGAAATAGCCAACATCCAATACTATTACAGTTTATAATGTTGAGCAGTGTCATAATTTTAGATGATAGCCATTACTGCACGGCTTTATCACATGAAACACTACCGTAAAATTTGGTTACCCGGATATTATTGGCATGGTAGATTGTGTAGTGCGAAAACCGGTTTGTTAGGCGTGTATATATATACACCACGGACTTGTTGGATTAATGCGTTCATTTAGTTATAATCCTGTTGGAAGGAAAGTAATAATGGAATCGTTTGCTTCAAAATCGCTGAAGATTGCATCTGTGGTTGCTGCATACTGGTAAGCTTGTTGTAACATTCTGTATGTCAGTGAAGTCAATGTGTAGTTGACACCGGGCCAACGGGCCACGTTGCCAGTGTCCGATGGGCCTGTAATATTGTAAACATAGTGGTAAGAGTTCCTCCCGTTCCCCCGGGATCCCAAATACTATTTATAAATATAAGTGTAAAGTGCAGTACTCCCATATACTAAAATTGTTAACAAAACTTAACACAACAATTACTAGAGAACTCACAAAATGACTAAAAGTCCAAAATTTAAGTTAGGGTTAGGTTTAGAGTTAGGTTTAGGGTTGGGGGAACGGAAGAACATTTCCCCTAGAAAATACTGGTGTCACATTCAAATGTTCATTCAATGAAGTTAATTAAGATTCAAGTTACACTTACATGCTGTAACATTATGTTATATTGATTTTACAATTTATTTATATAATCCACATAAATATTCTTTTAAAATTATAAGATGTCATGAAAATCAGTGTATGTCGATTAAGCAGCTTTGGACCCCCAAAATATAAAATGAATTGGGGATTTAAAAATATGTAGACCCAGCTAAATCGCAGGTTTATGTTGAAACATAAAGAAGATTACTCACTTACAATAATCAAGATGTTTTGAATTATTAGCAGAGATATCTCCAACCATTTACTAGTTACTGTTTTCATATCTATCAGCTGTTCCATGATAACCTTGTCATCAATTCCTGAATATGTATAATATACAATATAAGCAATCAATCGCTAAAACTGGAACAGGATAGTAATATAATACATCTGAGGGTACTGACAGAAATTCACAGATATGATTGTGTATTTAGTCATTAATAAATTATGTAGGGGCTGTTTATCATTTATATTACATCAGTGATCTGTTCTGTGATTACCACCTGTGTCACTGGAAAGTTGGGACATCTGGGGAGTTGTGCACATCAGAATTTGTTTGAAAGAAAACTAGAATAGTAATCTTGAATCTAATATATTTTAGGAAGTTTACAAAACTGCCCCACTCCCCCTTGCCCCATTTCCCGAATTAGAAAAAAGAAAGGACTGTTAATTTTTGGGACTGGCTCTTCATTCATACTTAGTGACATGCAAAAATTATTTTTTTTAATCACCACTTCATTTGTAGGAGATAAGTCTGGAACTTGGAAATTATGTTTGTATGTTTTCACCACCTACACTGTATTGCAGGCGAATACACTGTTCCATGACACTGACAGGGGTGGAAATAACTTTAAAATTGCTAGTGTACTCCGGTACAGTGGCACATGTAAAATCACTTGCCCTGATAACTTTTCCTCTATACCGGCCATTTTCTTGTTGATTTTTTAAATAAACAACATAATTAACATTGGAATATCAACTGGACACCGGTACAGTGTGATATACAAATTGCTTGCCCGACAGAAAAAATCACTGGACTCGGGCGTCGGGCAATGGGTTATTTCCACCCCTGATGCCATATATTTAAATTTTGTGCGTTCAAATTCCTTCTCCATAGTGTTTGAATCTGGGGATAAAGTAGGTTTGTTAGCATGGAGGCCGTAATGTTAATGCTTAATTTCAAGCACTGGAATGTGTGTTGCAAATCTGATCCTATGAGGTGTAGTATATCAGATCCTGTTCTCCACATATTTGCTATTAATTTGATCTTATCCTTGGCTGCAGGATGTATTATCTGATCCAATGTCATTCGTACGTGTAGTAACTCTGAGCCTGTGTGGCAGTGTGTAGTGATCGGTGCATACATTGCATAAACGTGATAAACTAGTTTTCATGCTCAAATGTCCAGTATACAGTCTATATTATGATAAGATGTACTAAACATGCAAATTTATTCACTGTTTCAGGTTCATTTCCATATCGATGGTATTTGTGAATAAATACTTACTCAGCAGTAAAGACCTTAAGGTAAGAAAATAGAAAAATAAATCATTTTTATAGATTATTTATTTGTTAACTAAATATTGTGATGGTGATTTTCATGACATTTATTTTATAGTTACAATAATGTACAGTGAAAACTTATCCCATAAGTTGTTGTTAATATCTGCACCAAGGCATGTTGTGTGAAAGAGAAATCCCAACATGGTTGTCAGGTAAGTATAGATTCACGACAAATTAAATGATCACAGGAAAAATATATCTCATCACATATGAAGCAACACAAAACACCAGAGATAAGCCCCGATAAGAAGGGTTTTAAGCATGTTAAGTTAACTATAGTCCTATAGTCTCATAGGGGTGAAACGGTATGTTCTTACCACGGTACAGTACGTATTGCGGTACAAGACTTTCAGTTCGATCCGTTTCGGTTCGGTATATGAGAACTTACTTCTGAGAAAATAACGGTCGTCTGGCCAAGAAAAGCATAGATTTTGACAAAATGATTTGATTTCTAGACTATTTAGAAAAGGTTTTAAAAGGTTAATAAATGACGGTACGAAAACCGAAAATATTGAATTTTTGGATTGCATTACAGTATACTGAACTGTATATCTACTAATATTGTGGTTTACCGTTCTACCCCTATAGTCTCATATTTATGACAATATCTTAAGGTGAAAAATATTGAGGCTTTAGCATATTTTTGTTCATAACATCTGCCTTTATGTGTCATGGGAGTGTCGGGTGCTCTGTGTGTATGATGAGTTAGAGTGGAGACAAATTATTTCTTAATTGTACAAACAACATGACTTCCATAATGTAGGAAATAAATCAATAATTTTGCACTTTTATCATATATCACATCTCTGTATCCCCAGGGGTTGTATTTCTGTATATGTACATTAACTCCTGGATCCATTCCAACGGTTCTTGCAGCTGCAAATTACACACCCTTGATTTTTATTAACCTTTTACTGACCAATCAAAAGCTGACACAAGGGAAAGGATAAGGGAGGTAACTTGTATTACCTGACAACCAAAGTCACATCAGTTTCATCCCTGTCCACTTCATCATCCCCAAATACTTAAAAAGATATAATTTAATTTTCTTAAGCTATATATAGAAAATGTTCTAAAAAGATATATTTTTAGATTACTCTATAAAACTATTAATTGTCCGAAGTACCTTGAAGTTTTTTACAGTGCCTGCCCTTTTACAAATTCACTGGCCTCAGGCCTTCAGACTAGAGGCAATTTCAAACACTGACCATGGTAATAAATTACATAACAAGCAACTGTTAGAGAATTGAGGGGAGTAATTTTCAACAGAAGGTACAGTGTAAAGAACCAATAGGAATCTTTTTTGAATTACCTGTATAGCGATGAACATTTTTAATATAATTTCATTTTATGATTGGTTAGTCAGATCTGCATTGCCGTATAAAAGAACAGATAATGTCGTCACAGTATTACAGTCACAAACATCTTGGATATCTTTAACTTGATGCTGTTTCTATAATGAACTCTCAACAAAATAATGATGAGCATTTTTGCATGGGTTATCATAATTAACCCTACTCTGTACAGATGTTTTAGTCTACTATCCGTACGACTTGTTATCCTACTTTGTACATTAAGTTTTCTAATGCTGTAGTGTAAGAAAACTGTAATGGAGATGGGATATTGGATCGTTTTATTTTTTATTTGAATTTTATAACAAAGTACTATTTCTTACGTCTGATAAGTCATTTCACACTCAGAAATGCAGCTCACTCACTCACTTCACTCACTCACCCACCCACCCACAGATTCTACCAAGGATTACAGTACAAGAGAATGTATTTGCTTAACAATCAAAAGGAATCAGTAGATAATAATGCTGAGAGCAAGCAATTTGACTGATGTGTTCTCAATATATAGTAACGAGCAGAAAAAATGTGACAAAAAACTTTATTCTGTAGTCTCGATCCTACTATAAAAAAAGCCGAAATACATTGTTTCTAGCCGCCAGTAGCTTGCCTCGTTGGTATGGAATTATCTCCCTTGGGTTCAGGGATGGCTTGATCACGTGACCTCGTTGCTAGCAGACGATACCGAAGCTTTGCCATGACGTTACAAAACAACCGAAATCGACTCTTGGCATATTATGAAGCAGGTATTACATCCGTAACTAGACTTGTGAAACTGACGGGACTGCATCGGGCCTCTGTTTACCAAAATTTGAAGAAATTTGACGCAGGGTTTGGGACAGAGCAACAGGCTGGATCTGGACGTCGTGCTATTTTGGGGCAAATGACAGACGACGTAGCACGCGTCTCGCAGCGGCGTACCCAAACTGGTCTGCAAAACAGCTTGCTGTGAAGGCGTCAAGTCAAAGAACCCCTAAGGTATCAGAATGGACAATCAGAAGATCTTTAAAGCAATCTGGATATGTGAAGCGAGTGCGAAGAAAAGTTCCATTGATGACAACAGCACATATGGAGAAAAGGCTCGAGTGGTGCAGGGAAATGCAGGGTACAGACTTTTCAAATGTGATTTTTACGGTCGAATCAAAGTTTCAGTTTTATAGGATCACAAGAAAGGGGTGGTCAAGAGGTGGACGTAGCTGCAAAATGGTTCCGAAGTTCTCACCCAGTGTCATGGTTTGGGGTGGTATAGGCAAACTCGGGGTAACGGCGCAGCTAACTATTACAGGAAAGATGGATTCACGGAAGTACTGTCAACTTATACAAGAAGGCATAGTGGAATCCCATATAGGGCAGAGTGGAATACCTTTCAAACTTTTGCAGGACAATGCACCTGTACACAAGTCAAGACACAGCTGTAACCGGTTTGAAACGAGTCAGGTGACCTTACAGAAATTTCCAGCGGCATCACCAGACCTGAACCCAATTGAAAATGTGTGGCAGATTATGAAGGACAAACTAGAAAAGTTGGAGCCAAAGAGTGTCGTTGAGTGGTCTAATCTCATCAGTCAAATATGGGTGGACCTACCCCAGGACTACATAGACAATTTGATTGTAGGCATGGGACGCCGTATTCAGCAGTGCATCGAGAGAAACGGTGGACTAACAGACTATTGACTTGCATAAATGTAAACTTCAGTATCCAGAGTGGATGTATGAAAAATATAACTGAATTTACAGTAAATTAATTTTGAAACAATGTCTGTGAAAAGTCGCATTTTTCTGATCGTTACTGTACATATATTTCCAACTGGTTCACATATAAGGTATTGATCAGTTGGTATTGTCATTATCCATATATCGATACCTGAGCAGCTGTTGCTTAAAATATTCAAGGTTATCATGGTTTGAAGCTGTATAAGAGTGTCAGGGGCATTGTTGTAATCACTGTCAAAACTAGCTAATTTTGTTTTAATTTTGTAAATTCTGAATATTCCCGGTACACTGCTGTTCAAAAGAAGGTACATCCCAGTGTTTGATGGTGGTAAAAAGTGAAAAAACAAATAATGGTTATTTATTGGTGATGTATTTTATACACGTATCATTCATAGTTATGTTTTGTACCTGAGAAGATCTGGGTTAGAATTGATCTTCAGTAGCCCATGATTGTCGTAAGAGGCGACTAACGGGATCGGGTGGTCAGGCTCGCTGACTTATTTGACACATGTCATCATATCCTAGTTGCGTAGATTGATGCTCGTGCTGTTGATCACTGGGTTGCTGGTCCAGATTTGATTATTTACAGACCGCCACCATATAGCTGGAATATTGCTGAGCGTGGTGTAAAACTAAACTCACTCACTCACCTTAGTCTTGCAGTGTTTTCTGACTGTTTACTTTACTTTTGGTAATGTAATATTAAAGTGTATACATTCCTTTGCCTAGCAGTGTATATATCTTCTGGTTACTTCAGCATGTTAAGGCCGTATCTAGAGATCATATTTATTTAACAAAAAAGTTTGTGCTGATGAAAACCATGGCAAAAGTAATATGTACACATCCTTTTAGACTAACGCTTAGTCTCTGAATATATAAATTTAAACTGGAAAGGGGCCCCAGTGAGATGGGAAATTCAGCCTAAACCAGAGGGAATCTAGACTTTCTTCATATAGGGTTTAGCATTGCAGCAAGGGTTAGGTAGTAGGGAAAATAATGTGGTTCAGGGACTGTGGCTCCCACTGTGGGGCAGACTAACATCCTTTCAGAAAATTAGACTTTGACATAAACAGGTCGGGGAGAACCTGACAAGGAGCTATAATAGTTATATCGAACTATAATAGTTCAAACGAGCTTTGGGCCTATAGGTCGATTGAGCTATAATAGCACATACAAGGAAGAGGCCCTTTAAGAACAACTTTCCGCACCGCGGTCATGGCATTGCTCCACTCGACTGGAATTTCAATTCCAAAAGACACATACAAATTCGATAAAAAACAAGGATAGACCTTATTTATTGATAAATACGCATAAGATCCAGAATTCGCGCGACGGATAAATGTGTCCCACACTGGGCTTGCATATTTTTTTTGTTTATGCGTCTAACGTTAGTGGAAAACAAAAAATACATGTGTAACGAGTACTATTTCCAAACCGGAAGTCATGCAATCGTCAAGTTCAGACGTTCGCGAGGTGGGACTCCACGTTTTGGGGTATATTTTCAGTTTTCAGGTGTGTTATTTTGTCTCCCAAGTGTAAATGTCGATAGGGTTAGGTAGTTTAGCAGCTCTCATATATCAAAAACGCTAGGGTTTGTGGTGCAAGTAGCTTCAAATATGGGCAAGACGATTCCAGTCGAGAGGAGCGATGCCATGACCACGGTGCGGAAAGTTGTTCTTAAAGGGCCTCTTCCATGTATGTGCTATTATAGCTCAATCGACCTATAGGCCCAAAGCTCGTTTGAACTATTATAGCTAGATCTCTAACTATTATAGCTCGTTTTGAGGTTCTCCCTGACCTGATAAAATGTACTTGGAACTTGAAACATGAAGTGGAAGAACTTTCTTCATATCAAGTGCTTGTTTGCTATAAAATGTATTTCAGATCAAGTGCAAACATATTGTAGAAAGGGAGAAATTTTCCATATATTTCAGTGAAAAGTTCTATGTCTTTATATATATTAGGTGCATTTTATGTATCAGTTGTTTGAGTACAATATTGGCTAATGCAACCATCTGTTCACTGGTACATATGGGATTACGAAAGGACAGGCACCAGCTTGTTGACTACTAAATCTGTGGGTTACATACATTTACCAAAACCTTTTTAACACCTGGGCATATTGTCAAGCTGTCACAGCCTGTGGACATACTTGCCCTTGAGGTATTACTCTAGAGATCTGCCTTCAACTTGGTAAAACAAGAATGAGCTATATCCAGGGCTAGAGGAATGTCTATCTGTTTCAAGTCTTTTGATAAACTCATGCTTGCAATTCTGTTTAGCCAGAGGCATTTCGGACAGTCACAGTGGGTTTTAGGACCATCTTGATCTTGATTATGATATTGATAAGGATTTTGATAGAGCTATTGGCCTCATGATTTAGGGAATCTTAGAACCTTTATTTTATTTTTATCCTTTGAAGTAGTCAATAGGGTATCAGAATGGTATACGGTCAATATAATACCAGCAATAGTGCAAGTCTTGCAGAACATTGTATCATGTTTACAGTGATGGGTACAACTATTGTATTGCATTAATTGCCATGATGAGTCATGTATTGTGTGATACTTACTGCAAAATATAACATTTTTGAGGAATCTGAAAAAATCTTTTCCTGTACATTCGACTTCCCCCACAATTTTTTGTCGTTCACTATTTTGTTAGGTGCTATTGTGGTCAAAATGAATGCTGAATACACACATTATCAAAGGAAATAGTTTTACATTTTTGTTTACAATGCAACAGTAATTTTTAAAACGTATTTTTATTTGTAATTCATTTCGCGGTATAAGGTTATTTCTTAATGTTTATAATAAATCCAAAAGTTCATAAATAAACAATAAAGTCTAAATATGAATCACACAATGTTAATGCTGTCAAATACTGTATGAACATCTGACATTAAACACAAATGTGATATTAATTGTAGTAGAACTAACACATTTAAACTGGAAACAGTAAACTAAAAATTGAACCTCAATAAACTGATATACCGAAAATACCGTGCACCCTCAATATTCAATAACAAACTGTTAGTTCTGAATATCTATTCTTTTAGGGGACTAATTTTTGCCTGGTTGTGTGCTCCCCCTTGTGTGAACATGTCACATAAACTCACACATGTGTACATGCCACAGAATCTCACAGCAGCGATCTACATGTCAGATTAACAATAAATAATTCACAATTTTTGCATTAATTACTGTAGAGTTTATGTAAGTGTGATGTCTGCTTTTAATCATGTTAGTCAGTAAAAATGAATATTTAATGATATCCAGGCATAAACAGTGGATACTGGAAACAGTAGTTAATTACACAGAGTGTTATACTTGGGGGTTTAGCAACTTGCCCCACATATTTGTCAGCAAGTTGTTAAAGTTATTGAGGCAATGTGTTTTATGCAAATACACAGTTTATAATCTGGAGCTGGTACCTGGACTGAGAAATGTAGAGGCATATTGACCCAGAAATTTGTAGCCAGGGAAGTTATATGGTTGCTGTAATGTCAAAAGCGTAGTGTGTCATGTTTGTGTTGTGACAAGGTCTAATTCTGTCAGTCTGGTTGCACAGCCTTTACAGCCACCTCCTGGGCACTGGAGCGATAAGCTGATCACACGAACTTGATGTTTGTTCCTGTCTGAGAAAGTGCAGACTGTCATGTGCCCCTTGAATGACTGAGGTGTATGACACAGCCATTAGACATGTAGCAGAGAGTGGAGTCATCCCACAGATGACATCCTTACCTTGTCAGCTGATGACCCGTGAAGATCCGGGGTAGAATAGGTCTTCAGCAACCCATGCTTGCCACAAAAGGCGACTATGCTTGTCGTAAGAGGCGACTAACGGGATCGGGTGGACAGGCTCGCTGAATTGGTTTACACATGTCATCGGTTCCCAATTGCGCAGATCGATGCTCATGCTGTTGATCACTGGATTGTCTGGTCCAGACTCGATTATTTACAGACTGCTGCCATATAGCTGGAATATTGCTAAGTGTGGCGCAAAGCTAAACTCACTCACTCACTCACTCACCTTGTCAGCTTGCTGACGGGGTTAACTCACCAGGCGTCCGACTTTGGATCAGAAGGTCTGTGGTTCGAATGCCAGCACAGGACTTTGAACTTTTATGGCCGCTACAATCACATAACATTTTGCACACAGATATACTGGATATGTGACATGTTAGGTGTTCGTTGTATAGGACACCTGTTTGACACATGGCATTGCTTTGCAAGACAGATTTACTGGGTGTGTTACACATTAGGTATTAATTGTAAAGCTAAAATTCACTGACTGACTCACTCACTCTTGTCGTAAGAGCTAGCTAACAGGATCGGGTAGTCAGGCTCGCTGACTTGGTTGACACATGTCATTGTATCCCAATTGCGTAGATCGATGCTGATGCTGTTGGCATTGTCTGGCCCAGACTTGATTATTTACAGATTGCTACCATATAGCCTCAGAATATTGCTGAGTGCGACGTTAAACAACCAACCAACCAACCAATCAACCACCAATCTTATCAGTAGAATTGGCTGACTTGCTGTTTTGTCAAATGGACCTTACACCCAAATTAACCTGAATATTTCCAACACACATTACATCAAACACAATCCCTCATTTTCACTTGCCCTCAGCACAATTTAGTAGCCAGGGGCTAGCAGACTAGCGTTTATTTCCAAGGGTAATGTTGTGATGTGTTGCGATGTTTCAGCTCAATGCTCCGCTGTTTGTGACCTGGTTCCAGTGTGTTGTAACTGTTCTGCTGTGTGCTCTGCTCAGCTTATCTGGAAAACTGTTCCCAGGAAAGGTCACCTTCCCTCCATTTGTGATCGACCTCAAGCTATGCAGAGCTGTGAGTAGACTCTTTTATTACTTATATTATGTACACAAATGACTTTGATGAAGATTTGTACTAATTTTGATTGAGAGAAATACACATATACACAAATATAACTTCCTCTCAGACTGGGGACGGTGGAGAAGCCTAGTGGTTATTGCGTTTGCTCGTCGAGCTAAAGACCTGGGTTTGATTCCCCACATGGATACTATGTGTGAAGCCCATTTCTGGTGTTCCCTGCTGTGATATTGGTGGAATATTGCTAAAAGCGGCATAAAACCAGACTCTCGCAACTCCTCTCAGACTGGCAATGCAAGTTACAAGGAGAGATGCCAGGTATATATGATGTAGAGACAAACTGGAGAATCCAGTTTTGTAGTTCAGTGAAGTTTCTTGATCTCAAATCAGGACAACCATGGAAAACATGTAGAGGAGGGGCGGTGGGGTAGCCTGGTGGTTAAAGCGTTGATTCGTTCACGCCGAAAACCTGGCTCGTATCCCCACATGGGTACACTGTGTAAAGCCCATTTCTGGTGCCCACCCGCCATGTCATTGCTGGAATATTGCTAAAAGCAGTGTAAAACTAAACTCACTCCCGTAGAGGATGTTTGAATTTTCTTAAAGTTCTGCCATGTGTTTTTTCACTTAGGTGAGGTGAGGTGAGGTGAAATTGGGTTTAACGTCGTACTTGAGAATATTTCGCTCATATGATGACGTGCATGCGTGTGTATGTGTATGTGCGGCTGCTTGTACTAGCCCAGACTTAAGCTGGTTTTATATATAGTGCTAGCCCACTGAGATACCACGCCGCAGTTAAGCATGAATACCCCACTCAGACACATTATACTGTTTCCGAGCCGACCAGTCCTTGTCGTACCCATTAATGCCGAGCGCCAGGCAGGGACCAACAAGTACCATATTTTAACATCTTTTGGTATGACGCTGTCGGGGATCGAACCCGCGACCTTCCGCTCTCTGGGCGGACGCTCTAACCACTACACCACGGAGGCGGTCTTTTTCACTTAGGTATCCTACATGTAGTTTTATATAAATCATGTTATTAAAGTGTTTCACATAAATTACAATCAAAAGATACTCCTCACTCAAGACAAGTGGAGATGTAAATGCAGTATTTGTAGGAAGATCATGATGTATTCCTGTTTCAGACGCTGCCTCTGTCGATCATCTTCGTCTGTATGATTTCCTTCAACAATCTCTGTCTGAAGTTTGTGGGCGTCGCCTTCTACTACGTCGGCCGATCTCTAACTACCGTGTTTAATGTGGTCAGTATGGACTTGTTGTGGTCAGTTTGTTTGTTGCTGACCTCATCACTATATGACAGCTGCCTGTATATAGAATAGTTGACATTGCCCATGCCTGCCATGTTACACACAGCATAGTAGTATCAATGTATGGCTATAATAATGCTATACAGTATGCATAAATCCTATACAACAATAATTATGGACATAGCAAGAATGATTACGTGATGGCACCGGCGTAACACTTTACTGCTTCACATGACAATAATAATAATAATAATAGTCCATTGATATTGCGCGTTTATCCATGCACATTGCATGCTCAAAGCGCTGACATATTACCCCTGGTCAACGAGTACAGAACACTCCATGTGGAGAATACAACCGGTCGCCTGTCAGGCTCTCAAGGTTCAAATTCAGACTACCATTGTATCATACCAGGTACCCAATTTTACTGCTGGGTGGACAACTATGCAACCCTCCACGCTGTCGATGTACGATGACACGCAATCAGTCAAACCTGTTGAGTCTTATCATGTGATCGATTTGGTTGCCACTTAGAACAAGCATGGAAGCTGTGGACCAGATCTAACCAGATTTCACAGGGATATGGATGGTGCGGGTGATGGAGGTTCTCCATCCAGAGGTGTCCACTGTGTGATGTTACAGAGTGGGTGTTTGAATATGGTACAACTGGTACTCCAGAAGTGAACATAACATTGACACTGACAGAGAAGACCTCAATGGTGACATAAATTTGAGAACTGACATGTTGTCTTACAGAAGCAAATAAGAATGTTGGTTTTATGTACATACAGATATATGCAACTTCTTAAAGGGAAATTCTCATCCATTCAGGTATTCTCCTACCTGCTGCTGAAGCAGACGACATCGGTGAAGGCACTGATCTGCTGTGGCGTCATCATATTCGGCTTCTTCCTCGGGGTGGATCAGGAGAAGGTTTCAGGTAAGCCACTTCATTGATGATGTACATCTGTCGTTGTAGGCATTGTGTCATAATGTATGTAGTTACTGTTTTTTATGTAATGTACCTGACCCTGTGGCCTTTAAACTGAATAAATTTCTTCTTCTTCATCTTCAACTTCTTGATCTTCTTCATCACCTTCTTCGTCATCATTTTCTTCTACTTCTTCTTTGACAGCAGATAGGGGCGGTGAGGTAGCCTTGTGGTTAAAGTGTCGCTCGTCACGCCGAAGACCCGGGTTCGATTCCCCACATGGGCACAATGTGTGAAGCCCATTTCTGGTGTCCCCTGCCGTGATATTGCTGGAATATTGCTAAAAGCGGCGTAAAGCCATACTCATTCACTTACTCATATGTACCGCTGTTGTGTAGGACTTGTGTCTTCATATAATATGGTAATGTAGGTCACGTGTCATTATGTTCTTTGTGTTGGTTATGTCTCATCAAACTTTGTATCACATCTACATTCATCAATATCTCGTGAAACTATGTCAGTCACAGGGCTCTAGATAAGATGTGTATCTGTGTAAAATACGCATGGATAATTCAGATATACGCATAAAAAGTCAAAACAATGAGTGAAAGATACTCATAACTTTCTCAGAATACGAGTCAGATTTTGCGTGAACCAAACCTGTCAAAATATTGTTTCAGTCCTACACATATTAAGATCTTGAATAGTGTGGGTTGTCTGTATTGAAGGGAAGATTGTCAGTTTTTCAGGAATGATCTCCGTTAATATTTCTAATCTACGTTCGGGGCACGATTTGTTTTAAAGGCAAACCCTTAAACAACGTTACTATCACAACGTTTCTGGTCTGTATTTGTAATAATACAGCATTGGGGCTACTGTAGATTACGTGATGGCCCTAAAACATTTAATACGCAATAGCTATACACGCACTGTCATTTATTTCCTGTTGTCTGCAGTAAGAATGTCTAACCACAAAACTCGAAGTTTAAAGGAAAACTGTTTCAATTAGCAAGGAAAAGTTAGTGTCTGATATTATCAATGATTTATGACAATGTAGATAAAATCTGTATTAAGAATAAACATGATTGGAATAGTGTCACTGACAAAACAAATTTCCTGTGGTTGCATGTGGTTATAAGCGAGTGCAGACCAAAAAGGCTATTAAAACAAAGCTGCTCAGTGTTATGTGTCTCTTTGAAAGTAATAAAACCATGCAACCTGTGAAATAATACTCCTCCTTTTATTTCCATTTTGAATTGTACTCCTCAATTTTAATTTTGAGGAGTGACATACCCCTGAGTCAAAATAATTATCTGGAGCTCTGCAGTCAGAATGCACGCCTTCTTTTTCTTCATCATTCGTAACTACTCGCCTCTTTCCGTGACCTACAAGAAGACTCGTACCCCTATCGTACGCCATTATTGCCAAGAATCGTGGCAAACCAATCAAATTGCGCGTAGTAAAACGCATTTCGAAGCATGAAAATGGTGACACCGTTGAAGTTTGAAACTTCGGTAAACTATGCAAAGCACAATTTAAACATAAACTTTGAGTTAAAGGATCAGAAACTTTAAACACTGAAACATGTTTACAAAGGAAATGACTGTATTGTTGTTTTGCCCACGGGATATAGGATATTCTAGGAGCCATGTTTGGAAATTCAGAGTTATCTTTCCTTGGTATGGTACTAGACTATTTTCATCTCCATGCCCGTTTGCGCTTAGACAGGGCCCAGTCGTAAACATGGCCACTAGAGGGGTACGAGACGCCATCCGGCTTGCCGGAATGACACGAGTAGTTACAAATGTTTCTTCATATGTATACAAAGGGGCATAACTCTGTACTCACAATTTGCTATCCTGGATGTTTGTTAATTCAGAATCTGGTTAAGTTTTCAAAGAGAATAGTAACATTTAATATCCATTCACTGTATTTGGAACAAAAATAATTTTATAAGAAGCAAAATGTTAAAGATGCATGTAGTTATAGTTCTAAATAATTATGCACTCATGAAACCAGGTCACTTTGTGTTTTCAGATTAGTTATTTTAACAAATAGATTGATTTTAGACCTCAGTATTACTCAATGAAATCAGGCTACTTTCTCATCATTTAACATAGGCTTATTTGTAACTTGACCTTCAGTTGATGGTGATCTATAGACTGTTTGTATATATTTAGATTGTATATTCTTCAATAGTTAAGAGGTTTTAGATTTACGTACTAGTTTTAAATCTATATCTGTGATATAATTGTTTTTACTGTCCTTCGTTGACAGGTTTTTATAATTTAACTTTATGTTTTATGAGTGTGTATCTTATTTTAGTCACAAAATACTGCCGAGGTGACTTGAAATCGTAACTCACTCACTCACTGTAACTCTAGTGGAATGTGACAAGTGTTGGGAATTGGTTAAAATCTCACAATTGATGATTGGTTTATGACAACCGATCAATCATCGAAAATAATTGGTTAGCGTCATTTATCAAATTTCCCTGGTTTTGTTTGTTAATGCACAAGAAATAAAGAAAAAACATGCAGCTCTTTGGGGTTTTTGACAGACTGCACAAAATGCATTTGCAAATTTCAAATCTTTAAAGGATGACTAGTATGTTAGGAACATAACTTTCCTGGAGTCTTTAAGATAAATTCAATCATGACTTGGAACGTGCTTGTAGTGCTTTTGAAATGTAACAGACAAAACCAACCTTGTGAAATATATTGTCAATGCAAACAAGTGTTCAAAACTTGTTTGTGTTCGATTATGAGAAAACATGATCGACTGCTTGGTCGTTTAGGCACTTCAACCAATCTTCAATTATTACAATTAATCGGACCACCACTAATTGTAACTGCTGTTCTTTTGACAAAAGCCATAGGTCTGAGATGACAGTAACATCTTTTAGCATAGGCTTACGAGAGACATAGCTCTTAAATTGGAAACAAACCCAGACAAGCCAGTATCTATATTGCAGTAAGACGTGAATCAATCCACTAAAGTAATATATATTTGTACCTTTTTATCCTACAGGTTCTCTGTCTCTAATGGGTGTATTCTTCGGCGTGATGGCAAGCGCCAGTGTTGCTCTCAACTCCATCTACGTGAAGAAAGTTCTCCCCCTTGTCGACAACAACATCTGGCGCATCACCCTCTACAACAACATCAACGCAAGTTTGTTGTTCCTCCCCCTGATGCTGGTGACCGGAGAGTTTTCAGAGGTCCTGAACTTCCCAAAGATCGGGGACATCCACTTCTGGAACATGATGATCGTCAGCGGTATTTTCGGTTTCGCCATCGGCTACGTGACCGGCATGCAGATACAGCTGACGTCACCGCTGACACACAACATCTCCGGCACTGCCAAAGCGTGTGCTCAGACTGTTCTCGCCTGTGTGTTTTACCAAGACGTTAAGCCAGCACTATGGTGGTTGAGCAATGCTGTCGTCCTAGGCGGCTCGACAGGCTACACGGAAGTTAAACGACGTGAAATGAAAGAAAAGCATGCAGAAGAAGCCAAGTTAAGAGAATTACAAGAAGTTTCCAGTGATGAGAACGCACCATCAAAAGCATAATAATGTTGGGTTGTTCATACAGGGTTATTATAATTCATTGCTTCATGCAAAGGGTGTACATATTTATATGATTTCCATTTGATATCGCCTGAGGCTGCAGAATGGCTGGGCCATGTATATTTGTAACAATCTCATTTTAATCAGATCTTATTTCTCACGGCTGCTGAACAAAGGACATTCCTTTTGGTTCAAGGACCGTTCATCAGGAACATCAGTGTCACGTACCATATCAGGAAAGAGATGGTGAATGTGTTTTCTTGCTGGGGGAATTCTGAAAGAAATCATGGTCTATCCCCCCACTTGATGGTGTAGACATTTGAAATGGTAGAGACATTCCTAAGCACATTTCATGACCAGTCCCACCACCTTGGCCATCTGTTAGACTGTATGTTAGACATGCTATTTTGTTGATTCAATTTTTGGATTGACAACTTTATCAAACTATTTTTTACACATAGTCTGGAATGAAATTTTCCAGTTTGAAGGGCTAGTGGGGTACCTTAGTGGTTAAAGCATCACGCTGAAGATCTGGGTTCAGTTCCCCACATGGGTACAATGTGTGAAGCCCATTTCTGGTGTCCCTCGCTGTGACTAGCTTGAATATTGCTAAAAGTGGCAAAAGACCTCACTCACCCAGCTTGAATATTGCTAAAAGTGGCAAAAGACCTAAATTTGCGGTTGCCTGAATTAAGATCAGATTTTAATAAGATTGAATGTTTGTGATATGATCCAAATGAACCTGGATTTGGAATTGCAAATGTCTGGGGTATGATCTCCTGATTGTTTCATTGTGTATATTTAGCATGGGAACAACTGTTGATCTCTTGAATCAAACTGTGATGTCAGGATGGGATTTGATCGTTGGTAATGACGGACATTGTTATAATTTCATCGGTTCATCTCTGCATCACCATGGATACATATAGCTGTTATACAGGGTAACCATGGTAACAGTGTTTGTGTGTCATTTAACACTGCTGCAATATCATGGTTAAACAGTTGTCTGTGAATAATCAATGCAGTGATTAACATCATGAGCTCTGAACTACAAAGACATGCACTGACCAAGTCAGCAAACCTGACCACCAGATATTTCAATTGAATCTTGAAATAAAATCTAAACCAGATGACTGGGTTTAATTTTCCAATGTGGCCATTTAAAGTTGAACATTGAATAGAGTAACACGTCTTTGCATACTGATTGAATGCAGGATTAACCTGCTCATAAAATCATGAAGTGCTTCAGCTCTTACCTTGTCTTGTAAACTTTTAAACTTCATGTTTCCAGAATGGTTTTGACTTTCATGTCTGGATAATGATGAAATCCAAAAAGAATTATTTTGTGATTGACGCCAGTTAAAAAGGGCCCCATGCCACTTAGCATCACCACTGTCAGAAGGTAATCCTAAAGTATGGCATGTCCTGTTTGATCATCTTATTGATAAGATTGACCCTTCAATCTTAGCACAATGATGACTGACAGTGGTAGTGCTAAGGCAGGGGTTCAGAAATCCCATCGCCCGACGCTCGGGACATGTCAGTTTTCATTTCGGGCAATCAAATAATGGTATCTTACTTGTCCGTGGGCTACTAGATAATTTCCACTTATGGTTTCAAGCTGCAAATAAACTTTGATTTAATTTCATATCTGCTCAAAATGTAGCCATTAAATTTCGCAATGATAATAAAGTAGAGTTATCTTTCTTTGCTATTTATCACTTTTCAATAAATAGTCCAGTAAACATTAACATCAAATACGATGTTGATTTCTTCTTTCATAATTACATCATCATAATTATGTCATAAAATCAGGGTAAGTGGATAATTAGTCAGGATAAGTTACTTTCTTAAAAAAAATAAAAAATTTGAACCCCTGTAAGGGTGGCTTGTGGGAAAGGGCCCATGTAAATAATGTTGATTTTGCGTATGCTTTCACAGCTGTGTGTTCAACGATTTATGTGTATGTAAAAGGTTGTGAGGTTATACAGAGATGGAGTCAGTATATTATGTTGTAGTTTCTGACAAGATCAGCATCATCAGCAATTTGTGACTGTACACTGTTCATGATGCAGTCACTGCATGATTCATACCATTCATTATGCAATGATTCACAATACACATGATTCATGTCACAGTTGATTAACAATTCATATAATCACGATGCAGCCTATTAACCACTATTGAGCCAATTCATGATATGTTATTCGCAACAATGAACAATCATTTTCTTATGTTCCAAATCCACTGTTTACATGATTATACAATATGATATGACATAATCACATTTGCTTCACACATACTTTGTTTCATGCAGCATTAGCTTAGGCCAGACCAATTTTATTTCTTGTTTTATGGATTTTTGTCCTCAGAAAACCTAAAGGCAGGAGGGGAAAAAAATAAAATAAAATCACCAGTCAAAGTAATATTTCTTCTAAATATTAAAATTATTTAACTTCTGGCAAGTGTATAAGGGGGCAAAAACAATCAAAATAATTTGTTGTTAGTTTACATTTTTGGCTAATGATAACATAAGGATTTTATTTTATTTGCGGGGAAAATGATTTTTCATTTTTTTTTCATTCTTGAAAAAATACGACCACAGAGCAGTAAAACAAGAAATAAAACTGGTCAGGCCTTATGTGATATCCTTTGAATAATTCTTGTACTTAACCAGTCTATGTGAAGGTTTAACCATGTGATGTGGTGTATTTGTTGTGTTGTGTGGGAAGAAGCATTGTTTTTGTTTGATGTTGCTATTGAGGGAGACTTGAAGTCATATACACCAACAGGTTCACTAACAGGTTCACAACACCCCTGTATAATACCGCATTAGACCATGAAGTAAGAGTGTCTTGTAGTTTTATTTTTTAACTGATGGGTGTATTATAATGTGGGTTGGAGAATGACATGTGTAACATAACTTACTAAACAGAGTTATGTCCCTTATCTGCACCAGGATTGTTCATTTGAATTTTAGATTTGCCCTGTTTATGTCCCAAATGAACCCATGTGTAACTGAGTGGTGCACACAATTAGGGCTTTAGCATTGCAGGGAGGGTGAGACAGTAGGGAAAATATTGTGGTTCAGGGACTGTGAGACAGTAGGGCTGCAACGATTCACCCAGACCTTGATTCGATTCGATTTTCGATATTGGACCCTTGATTCGATCATTTTCGATTTGTTTCTTCATTTAAGTAAAAGCATCAGTCTAAGTAAACTTAGGCTCAGTATTATTCGTTACACTGCTATACTGAGTCTAACAAAACCTAGTAGAAGCACAGGAACCCGTTATTGCCATGTAGGTTAAACATAGACCATAGATAGAGTAGTCTATTTATATATATGACGTGCGTGTAGATCTATGGTCTATGTTTAACCTACATAGCGATAACGGGTTCCTGTGAGTAGAAGGTTGCGTCAGCTAACCTTTTGGACTGACCAATCACAGCTTACCAAATCGCGAAAGTTAACATTCGCACATACCGTTTGAACCTTTACCTCAAAAACTCGAACGATTCCGAATGCTATTTTCGAGTCGATAGCTTCCGAGTGATACATGCAATGAGTAAACAGTCGCTGAAAATAGTGTTTTTGTCAATATTCAAAGATGTCATCTTGAGAAAATATAAGCAAATAGTAACCATGTCATTAGAAACCCATAATCGTATATCTGGGTTTTATGCGGATTTTCATTTGTTGATAGATCAGTGTCAGCGACCAGGCAAGAGAAAATCCAAAAACTGTTTTGTAAGTCCCGCCCAAACCCTAACAAGTAGTCGTCTGATCAGTTAAGTTCGTTCGGCTCGTCTCACGCGTTTAATTCGACGGTCATAGGTCGCTCAATGGTTAGCTGACGCGACCTTCTACTAGGATTTGTTGACTCAGTATAGCAGTGTAACGAATAATACTGAGTTTAAGTTTACTTAGACTGGTAAAAACATCAGATTTCATTTAACTCTCATAGTTTAATAAACAAAACATATCACACTGAAAATTAATTCCAAGATATGACTAGGAAATCAGGAATGTAAATGATGTAACCTTTTTCAAACAAATGAAATATGATGTTTAAACACAGAACAGCACTTTTCACTTTCTTGTCCCAATGTCAAGGACCATAAACGCAAATAACGTAAAAATTTCACAAGTCAAGTGTGTGGAAATAATTTAAATAGATATTCAAATATCTAATCGAAATAGTTATAATGGTTATCTAAACTAAGGTGTCAGATTCGATTTTCAATGAATTGAACCGAATCGTTGGAGCCCTATGAGATAGACTGCATAAGTGATTGTATCATGCTAAATGATGAATATATTTGTTCACTCTCTCAACCACTGGTTTGTGTGTGATGAAATTCACCAAAGGAGGTGGAGACTGGGTTGTTGTGGTACATGGCTTAAATCTTTTCACTCATTGAGGTTAAACAAATAGGGTATATTTTCAGTGATAGATTGGTACTGAACAAACTTATTTGAAACTTGTTTTCTAAATAGTTACAAAGCAGTTATATATGCCATCACTGCTGTTAATTTTTAGATGTGAATTTTTTGTACTGTTTTTTAAATTGTATTATTGGCAAACAAAGACAAGTTGAGCACCAACCTGCCAATTGACCGGTATTAGCATGTATGAGTGCCGCCCACTAGCGCTTGCCATTGTGAGCGAAGGAGCCCCAGGTTGTCGCGATCCAAGTATAGTGCGATGGGTGAAGCGCATGGCATTGCTAGCTTTTAACACTGCCTGTTTCGTAGATGTACATTCTTTCTCCATGTCTTTAATAACATTGTATTCCACTTCTTGGGTCTGAGAATGTGTTAGCTGACCGTGCTCACCTAACTTTGACATGAAGTTTTGTCTTGAAATAAATATCTATATCCGAATATTACCGACTTGCTACACCGACCATGTGAGAGTCTTATGAGCAAGGCGTGTGCAGCTATGGTTTTTTCTCTGCGCCGGTCCAACTTATCCTTGTTTGCCAGTAAGGGTAGTGATAAAATTACTTACAGTTCAAACTTGAAGGTTGTTGTGGGTTGCTTTTTTGGTATCTAATGTAATGAATCTAGTATAGAAAGTAGAAAGTATGTGCTTGTCGTCTCTGCCTTTCAGAGGCATGTGAGTAAGCATAGTATCCATTTCATTGTTGAGCAGTGCAAATAGGACACATTATAGTTTGAGTTGTATTTTAAATCCGGTACACTAGATGTGATACACATTCTTGGCTGATTATAGGGCATCTTTGTGTTTACATTGAAGCAGTTAAGTTGGTTATATGCTGTTTTGTAGTGCATACATGTGCATCCTTATAACGATCGTATTAAAATGTTATTTTTTACATTCTCAGTGATACTGTGTCAGAGTGATTGATCTGACTGCCCCATTCCAATAAAAGGTTTCCAACTTTATCCTGTTTTCATCTGGTTGCACTAATGCAACTAGACGGGACACCATGATCATAAGAAACAGCCACTGAAAGGAGAGTCTGTCCTATATCATAAGCATGTGTTTATGATTCACTATCAATTGCAAATGTTTGCAAGCATTTACACCAGAGACCATATAATAGAGGGACGGCCCTCGAGCAAGTGCGCAAAACCATCAGTGCTACGGCTTGTACTGTGCAGCCTATCTATTATATGGTCTCTGTTTACACATATCCTTCGTCATGGATGGCACCCATCAAAAACACATGCAAAGGCAAGTCAATTCACATGAAAAAAATCCCATGGGAATGTTTTTTAGAAGTCAAAATAGCAAATTGCATTGGCCATTCTATTTGTCACTTATTGATCTAATTTGGAAAAATGTTACTAGCATGTCTGACATAGAATATTTTGAAAGCTTTGCTGTGACCTTGTACATTGCCAATGGATTATTCTTTAAATACTTAGGTAATTTATCCAAGTCTTTGTACACTGTTATGTTTTAGATGTTTATTCATATTTGTTTATATTGACATGATTGTTTTTCAAACTATTTTTCTTGAAACTGTGATGGCTGCAAAACCACAGTGAAACTATTTGAGTCCGGTCACCTCTTTTCTAGATTCTTAACCCATCCCAAATCAGAGGTTACACTGACTTATGTTCTCAACGCGCGCAGCATTCGTCACCACTCGCCCCTTTCCATAACCTCCAAGAAGAGGCTTGTCCCGGAATAACACGAGTTGGTCACGAATGCGCCCGCAGTGGTACAAGTTTGTTGAACCAAATTACATATGATCAGATAAGTATACATATGGAAGGTAATTCAGCATAATCTACCTGAAGTGATATCTCATGGTAGTCAGTTTAGAAAGGTGAGTCTGAAATACCATCATCAAGATGGTAATGAGCCATTACCATTTTAGTGGCAGATAAATGCTGTGAGATTCAGAAAAGTGCCCAATTCGGATTCTTGTTTGATTGTAACCAGCATTGTTCTGGATTTAAAAGATGACAAAACAATCAGGTGGTCAGGCTTGGTGATTCGCTTGACCCAACAACAGATCATAGTATTAATCACGGGATTGTCTGAATCCATGTAGATGTTTCACATACCATCATCATGTAAATGGAATTTTCCTAAATGTGTCATTAAATAACAAACAAAATCAGGATTAGAGTTTAGTTGTTGCAAGAAGTGACCTCTACTTACCCACTCAGACAATCCAGATGAAATCCATGCTCCGCCAACCTTCCCTGGTGTATGTGTCCTCAGTCTGATCTTGTGTTTTGTGTGTTTTGTTTTGTTGATACTGTGGTTAGTTATGTTTTGCTAGCCATGGTGACGAGTGTGGATTTATTGTTACACATCTCTGTTCTTACACATATGAGGGATACACTGTATATTTTCTTAGAAATAAAATGGGAAGATAAACGTTTCTGATTTTTCTTTTAAATTGATGGGTCTGATGAACTTTGTGAACTGGACATGGAAGAGATTCACCTGACATAGTATGGTTCACCTACTTCCACCAGCAACTTCAATCAGCAACTTCCATCAGCAATTTACCCCAGCTCTCTCCTGAAGCTACTGGGTTAGACTGACTGACTGAGTTTGGTTTTACGCGGCTTTTAGCAATATTCCAGCAGCATCACGGCCGGGGACACCAGAAATGGGCTTCACACATTGCACCCATGTGGGGATTCGAACCCGGGTCTTCGGCGTGACAAGCCAACGCTTTAACCACTAGGCTACCCCACCGCCCCTACTGGGTTAGAATTGGTCTTCAGTAACCCATGCTTGTCATATGAGGCGACTAACGGGATCGGGTGGTCAGGCTCGCTGACTTGGTTGACACAAACATATCCCAATTGTAGATCAACGCTCATGCTTGTCAGGGGTGGGGGTGGGGGTGGGGTGGGGCATCCCCTTCTTCTTCCCTAGGAGCATTTCCCCCTAACCTTTTGGAGGTCATGTTTTATGTGCACCAACTAAATCTTTAATGTTTCAGACAATTTTCGTGAACCATAGCAAAATGATATATTTTGCCAGCATACATACATTTGAAAAAGAGACTCTTAATACCATTTGAAGTTATCAGCGCCTTTCTATAGATAAATGCCTCACTCACCTGGCTACACGCTGAAATATAAATATTGTTGTTTGAGTGTACATTCTAACAACTTCCTAAGCTAGCTTTGTAATGTGTGTAATAGTGAGTGATAATGGAATTACGCCTTTTTTAGCAATAGTCGCGCAACATTACTGTAGGGGACACTAGAAATGGGCTTCACACATTGTACCCATGTTGGAAATCCAATCGCTTTAACCACTAGGCAACCCCACCGCCTTCTCAACCCCTCCGTACAAGTAATATTTTCCGGGAGACCCTGCACTCACTACAGAATTTCCCTGGGGCAGTGGAATATTCCCGGTATAGAGGGTAAAAACACACACGCACGCACACACACACACACACACACACACCACATCCCCCGCTCCCATCCACGCCCCTAATTGTAATAAAAACGTTGTTCATACATATTTCTTACTGGTCCAATTTCTAAATGCCTCTTAATGAAAATATTCCACATTACAAAATAAATATTCATAAACGAAAGGTGTTAAAAAACTCTTTGTGAAGTTTTGACACCAGTGTGCTCACTATCAGATAACAACTCGCCCACAATCGGGAACGTTTCCCATCAATATTTTCACAAGATCGTGTGACCGATGTAAACTGATCCTAAAATGATTCACAGCTCCGTGGATTGGTAGGTGTGATGTGGCACCACGACTGGCGTGAAGCACACATGTGCGCCTCCACAGCTATAGTGCGTTTTGCTCAAAAGCGGACCGATGAATTGCAATCTAACTCGAAAACTAATAAACATAAAATACTCAATGAAACGCTGATCATAAGCAAAACATCATACCCACTGTGTGAGTTTTTTGCAGAATTTTTGTCCTAAAAATAAAAAGTTGTTTAACAATCTATCATGAAAATATTGACACAGTTCACTATTTGTAAAGAGGGAGGAGTGCAGAGAAAGGGACAGCCAGGTGTTTGAGAACGGATGGAGACGGCACAGCACAGGTTAATGAATGAATAACTTTGTCTGTGAACGTGCTTCTCGCTGTCCCTTTCTCTGCACATGTCATCGTAACTCAGTTGCGCAGATCGATGCTCATGCTGTTGATCACTGGATTGTCTGGTCCAGACTCGACTATTTACAGACCGCCGCCATATAGCTGGAATATTGTGGAGTGCGGCGTAAAACTAAACTCACTCACTGTGTTTTTTAACTTTGCGCAGAATATGTAGACGACGGGCGTATTATCATAGTAACCTGTTACGCGTGAATAGGACGAGGTGGCATACTGAAGGGATCGCCCGATATCTCTTGTTCGATCGTGTTACTGCGTACTCTACACTAATCGATATTTTTTTGGCACATGCTGTCGAGAGCACATGGCAGATGGAATTTGAAAAAAAGGTGTGATGGTCCATTAGCTTTGTTATTATCAACAGGTATACGAGCGTGGTGTTTATTTTCCGCCCATCCCACATCTCCACTATCCATTACACCACTGCATCACGAACAGGTAAGATGCGTTTCATATTGTGCTCTTTCACCTGTTGCATTATTTACATTAATGATATTATCCATTTCTATGAGGTGAGGTGAGATGAAAGTGGGTTTACCGTCGTGCTTGAGAATATTTCGCTCATATGACGACGTGCATGCGTGTGTATGTGTATGTGCGGCTGCTTGTACTAGCCCAGACTTAAGCTGGTTTTATATATAGTGCTAGCCCACTGAGATACCACGCCGCAGTGAAGCATGAATACCCCACTCAAACACATTATACTGACTCCGAGCCGACCAGTCCTTGTACCCATTAATGCCGAGCGCCAGGCAGGGACCAACAAGTACCATATTTTAACGTCTTTTTGGTATGACGCGGTCGGGGATCGAACCCGCGACCTTCCGCTCTCCGGTTGGACGCTCTAACCACTACACCATGGAGGCGGTCACATTTCTATGAAATGAATGGAGTGATTGTGAATAACTGGAAAACTATTGCATTGAAAGTCTTTTTTCACACAACAGACAAGTCACAGGCCATTAACAATGACAAGCACCGTTGTGTCGAAGTCGAAGAGACCCACGTAAATACTTCGAGTTATCCGAGTTACCTTAAAAAATGATGACTAACTGGGATCAAGTTTTTCCTTTGAGACAATCGTGAATTTGATGTTTATCTGTCAAAGGGTTAAGGAGCCAAAGGGTTAAGGAGCGTCTGTTTTCTTAATATGCATTTGTTATTATTGTCTGTTTGCAGTGAAAAAGTACCTATGAATTTCACTTTAAACAAAAAAGTAAATCAAACAAAGTGAAATTAAGATTGCGAATCCTCATAATTTTACCTTGCCAATTAAACATGTAAGTTTCAGAATTTTATTCAACTTAGGATAAAAGTTGTTTAACCAACAATAGCGATTTGAAACTATGATCGTTTGTTCAACAACTTTTATCCTAAAGTGAATAAAATTCTGAGATTTAAATGTTCAATTGGCAAGGTAAAATCATGAGGATTCGTACTTCTAATTTCACTTTTATTTGATTTACGTTTGTGTTTAAAGTGAAATTTATCGGCACGTTTTCACTGCAAACAGACTATATAGCCTAAATATGGTCTTAATTAGCAATAGTATTAGTCAAACCAATTTATAAATGTACGGATGCACATTGCAGTAATGTTTATTAACTTCTTTCCTTTATGTTTCATTATATTTTAATACTATAATAAAAAGTGATATTCATCTTAAACTGCATCAAAATCCATTACGTTCACAATCTATGATTGCTTGGTAAACATTATTTTGTTTCTTGAGTACTGGCGAGCCTGGAATCTAATTCACGGCTTATCTGGTATTTAGGCGCATGATCATAGGTACACTAGAAGGGCCCAGGAGACCAGGGGCCCAATCCACAAAGTGAGTGAGTGAGTGAGTTTAGATTTACGCCGCACTCAGCAATATTCTAGCTATATGGCGGCGGTCTGTAAATAATCGAGTCTGGACCATACAGCCCAGTGATCAACAACATGAGCATCGATCTGCGCAATTGGGAACCGATGACATGTGTCAACCAAGTCAGCGAGCCTGACCACCCGATCCCGTTAGTCGCCTTTTACGACAAGCATAGTCGCCTTTTATGACAAGAATGGGTTGCTGAAGACCTATTCTACCCCGGATCTTCACGGGTCCAATCCACAAAGCCTTCGTAGCGATAAGAACACCGTAAACCTATCTTAAGTTTGTGACAGAAATCTTAAGCGATCCACAAAGCCATTTAAGTGAAAACATCTGGTAAAGTTAATAGAAAATTTAAAAACGGCCAGGGCCTATCATAAATCCAATTTCTGCCGTAAGTTGAGAATCAAGATGGCAAAATATGTTTTGTTCGGCTTATTTGAAGAAGAGTGAGTGAGTTTAGTTTCCGCCGCACTGAGCAATATTTCAGCTATATGTAGGCGGTCTGTAAATAATCGAGTCTGGACCAGACAATCCAGTCATCAACAGCATGAACATCGATCTGCGCAATTGGGAACCGATGACATGTGTCAACCAAGTCAGAGAAACTGACCACCCGATCCCGTTAGTCGCCTCTTACGACAAGCATAGTCGCCTTTTATGGCAAGCACAAGGGTTGCTGAAGACCTATTCTATCCCGGATCTTCACGGGACTATTTGAAGAAGAGTCAACACAGTCAGGACCAAGGGTCTTTCGGGACCGACCGATAGTGTGCCTGCGTTTGTGTTTACCTACACTGGAAGCTGATACAAGCTTGTGTATTGGAATGTAAAGTTTGATAAAATAGTTTCTTTTCAGTTCAACAATGTCTCATTAGTTCGCTGGTGATGTATCTGACACGATGATCATAACTGTGTTTTTGGCCTTATGTTAGCTGTGTTTCGGTGACTGTTTTCAGTCTAGTAACGTTTTGATAACGTCCGAAATGTTTTGGTCAGATCCAGTTTTCAAGTGTACTCTCTTTCGTCCGGTAGTGTATGTACACCTGTTCTCAACTATACCCTCGCGTTCAGACTGACTGACTGAGTATGGTTTTACGCCGCTGTAAGCAATATTCCGGCAATATCACGACTGGGGACACCAGAAATGGGCTTCACACATTGTACCCATGTGTGGAATCGAACCCGGGCCTTCGGCGTGACAGGCGAACGCGTTACTTCTTGGCTACTCCACCGCCCCCTTCGCCTTCAGAGGCAATTCGGCCGTACAATAGCTGACATAAATGGTCAGATTCTGTGATTATTGCTTCCTGTCATTTTATTCCGACCGTGTAAACTGTCCGTCATGATTTCAGTCATTGGTATTTGCAAAGAGATGCAGAAGTTCACAGTAGGCCGCACGAATATTGGTACCTAGGTGTTAAACATAACTCACTAACCTAAAACTTTCACAATAGTTCTGCTCAACGAGCCGCAATGATAATTCACCCAGATAATAATATATTAATGCCTGTGGTCCATTAAACGGCTGATGGAACAGCGCATGACTAGCTGGGGTCATCTCACCTGGCTGTGTGAGTTGCACCTGCATGGGGTGCTTGTGCTGTTCCACCAGCCGTTTGTTACCCCTCGGCGCGAAGCCTGAAAACAGCGCAATATTACATGATGGTTTCGAAAACAACTTTTTTCCGCGATCGATCACAAAACGTCAGATTTCAGATCCCGTTGGGTACAGAGGTTTCAGGGCCATGTGTCTTATTTATGTTTTGTGAACTTATCCCTATTTCGAGATATTTAATCATTCATCGTTCTCATTTGAACCCAAACGGAATATAGTACATTGCATCTTCCATCCCGGACTGCATCAGTTGACATAAGCATCTTCACTAAAAACATGAAAAGATGTAGAAAATATGTGTCCACGCCCAATGGAGGGTGCATACGCTCTGCACATTATGCAATCAAAATGTGCATGCTAAAGATAATAACTACACGTAATTAAAGGCACAGGCACTATGTCACACCACACTTCCCTAAAAACAAAAATTGCATTTCTCTCAATAATACTAACTATTAGCCCCAAGGGAAGCTACCTTATAATTAATTCCAAATTATTACGTTTTTAGATTACAATATTAAACGCAACGTTGCACTAAATCGACTCTCTCGCCCTCTACCAACCGATCATTATTTCAAGCGAAGAGTTATGTCCCTTTGAGCGCTCTTTTCGAATATCCTAAGCACAACTTGTGATTGAAACCAGTTCGGCAAACACCAATATCGTCTGACAGATTTCGATGTATGGAGCAATTGTTTACATAGTAACCTCTGTGGGAAGAGAATGCTATATGGCAGTCGTTCCCTGTTTGGAAGCTGTTCGCCTTGAAGTTTCAGTTATCGATTTCAGGCAAGTCGTAAGGGATGATAAATCTTTTACTGCATCAATAGGAATCAAAAGTGAGTGCACATGACCCAATGTGTATGGTATAGGCCAAACTATTGTCGAAAATGTGTGATATTGTGCCTTTGAATCCACTCACATAAATCATGTTTGGCGTGATATTTATCAGTTTTGTCTTGAGAGCATTACATGAGTACTAAAAGCGTGAGTTTCAAGCCAAAAGCATGACAGTAAAAAGCAGTACTTGGGGCCACGTGGGTCTTATCATTCCGGCCTTGTTCGGCAGGGTCGGAAACTGCATTTTTGTACTCAGTTACCTCCCTTGCCTCGGGAGGATGCGCGGTTTTAACCAAACACACCATCTCTTGTTCTAGGTCCCAGAGGAAAAGATCATGCGGCTGCTTCTTGTGTTTCTTCTCCTGCCACTGGTCATGATGCCCGATACAGAGGGATTTCTCAGTAGAAGGAGACGTCGCATCTGGGACAGTATAAAATGTGTTATCGTGAGATGTGGTAAATATTTCTACTTTCTATGTTTACTATGTTTACCCCAAAAGAGTAAAACCTGTTCACCGAAAGTTCTGATTATTGATATTATTCTATAATTGATATTAATCATTATTTATTGTTTTGGAACAATTTAAAATGTGCCTTCGTGGTAAGTTACAGAATAACTGTGCTTTCGTATGTAGTAACAGAATACAGACGCGTTGCAAGACAATTTTTTCGTGTAAGTCCGATAGGTTGCAAAGCTTCATATATAGATAGTATTGAGGTTTTGCCGAACCTTTTAGAAACAATCACGTGTAAGTCCGGGCTTTTTTTAATAATGGTATCTATGCCCCTGGAATAATCTCCCAAATAAAAACCTGTTTCATGAATGTTCGTACAGATGAGTATTATTCAGTTGTTAATAAATCCAAGGAGTAACTTATTAGAGAATTAGGATAGGATTTGGGTGGGGTAGGGATGGGTGTGCGGGGTGTGGTGTTAGTTGATGGTTGGGGAAATGAATGTACACTGTAGTTATAAACTACAAAACCACATATTACCCTAAAACTAGTATTGAATATCTAAAGCTTTCGAACTATTGAGAAAATACAACATAGAAACAGGCTATAGATCACCAACAACTGAAGAAAGATCCCCACACTAAGGACCATGGGGACGTGTAGTACTTTTTCTACCTGTTGGACCCAAGTTGCATTTACGCCAACCCTTCAGCCGTTTGTGATTGTATTCGACTTTAGCCAAACATTAAAAGAACATATGTTCAGTGACTAAAACACGTATGAAAATACTTTGTTTGAAATGGGACTTTCGTACCCTCTCAGGGAGACAATCATTTAACGCTACTTTAACCCCTTTGAATTTACAAATGAAAGCAGGATGCCGCCTTATGATGACCACTCATGAGGAACGTGAAGATCCGGGTTAGAATTGACCTTCAGTAACCCATGCTTGTTGTAAGAGGCGACTAACGGGATTGGGTGGTCTGGCATGCTGACTTGGTTGACACATGTCATGGTATCCCAATTGCGTTGATCGATGCTCATGCTATTGATCACTGGCTTGTCTGGTCCAGACTCGATTATTTACATACCGCCGCCATTTTGTTGGAATATTGCTGAGTGCGGCGTTCAACAACAAAACAACCAACCAACCACTCATGAACAACAAAGCCCAGTGGATACATCGTCTTCCTTGAGAGCGCAGTTTCGGTGTTTCGATCCCTTGCCGAGCCATACCAAAGAAGTTAACAGATGAATCCTGACGTTACCCGGCCTAAGTAAATGCGTTTAGTTTTACGCCGTTTATAGCATTATTCTATCAACATCACGGGGACTCCAGAAATGGGCATTGCAAATTGTACCCATGTGGGGAATCGAAGCCGTTTCGTCTGCCTGACGAGCGAACACTTTAGCCACTAGGCCACCCCATAACCCCTCTCGGCGTTAGAGGTGCCCAAGAGTGTTCATTTCGCTCTCGGATTCAAGTTCCAGATAGTGGACAACGGACTGATGGCAAAATTCAGCTGTGTAGTTGATGTCGACAGGGGGCGGTGGGGTAGCCTAGTGGTTGAAGCCTTGGCTCGTCACGCCGAAGACCCGGGTTCGAATCCCCACATGGGTACAATGTGTGAAGCCCATTTCTGGTGTCCCCCGCCGTGATGTTGCTGGAATATTGCTAAAAGCGGCGTAAAACCAAACTCAGTCAGTCAGTCAGTGATATCGACAGCAGCCATGTTTATTATGGTTGTGGAACCATGATCGAAATGGTACAAGTTAATGTCAAACACGTGACAGAACGCACACCAGGACCGTTGGGCCAATGTTCCCGTTGCGGAAACCCGCTTCTGTCACTTACAGAGCTGCAGAAGTCGGACGACGTTTCTTCATCATCGACGTAGTCGTTGGTGAGGCAACGGCCTTGACCGACGCCGCACAATCCGTCCGCTTCTGTCCATGATCTCTGCCCGTCTCTCTCATTGGAAACCGTCTCTCACTATGGCAGGGGAATAAGCCTACCCGGTATTAGTGTAATATTCATGGTAAACCACGGTTTTGTTTCTTGGGAGATACAACATCATGTCACAACAAAAAACCAGGGTGGCGTAAGGCGACGTTTAACCTCATCTCGATGAACTCACCTTAACAGACACTTGGTACTAACATTTAGGATTATCGAAAGGCTGGGATGTAGTGGTGTTCATTATTTTCTATACAACAACCGGAAATGTATCAGGGTCCTGTATATCAGTCAAAGTTAAATCGATGTTATTTTCCTGTAAAGAGATTTTTTCACTTCTATACCTAATTCTTATCCCGCAAAGATCCAGGTATTCAGTAACCCATGCTTGCCGTAAGTGGCGACTAACGGGATTGGGTGGTCTGGCATGCTGACTTGGTTGACACATGTCATAATATCCCAATTGCGTTGATCGATGCTCGTGCTTTTGGTCACTGGGTTGTCTGGTCCACTCCATTATTTACAGACCTCCGCCGAATAGCTTGACTGTATCTCAGTGCTGCGATAAAAACAACAAACAAACCCATCGTTTCTTGAAAATATTTTTCTGTTTACATTACAAGTGAAATTAAACGTGAAATAGCAATATAACATTCATTCTTATGCCGCTTCATTCTTTTTCAGCAGGGAAGGTTAATGGACGTGACGTCAGGGATCTGGATGAAAACAACGATGGTGAAATCGACCAGTCCGAGGCAGAAAAGGTCATTGGCGCACGTTTTGCGGAGGAAGTACTTTCTCATGCGAAGGAACATGGTAAGTGGATTTTACTTTGTGTGCAATAAAGTTAGTGAATAAGTATGCCGCTTTTAGCAATATCCCAGCAATATCCCAGTCTTTGGCGTGGGGACGGTAGGTAGCCATGTCGTTAAAAGCGTTCGCTGGTTCGCCCGAAGACACGTGTTCGATTCCCCACATGGGTACAATGTGTGAAGCCCATTTCTGGTATGGTTTTACGCCGCTTTTAGCAACGTTCAAGCAATAAAATTAAGGGGGACACAAGAAATGTGCTTCACACATTGTACTCATGGTAGGGAATCGAACCCAGGTGTTCGGCGTGACAGGCGAACACATTACCCACATCGCCCCCCACCATACAAGTACAAAACTATGTCAATCTACATTCATTGTACTGAGTGAGTGAGTAACTGGAGTTTTACGATGGTTTTAGCAATATTCGAGCAAAATTACGACCGGGACTCAAGAATTGGTCTTCACACATTTTACCAATGTGGGTGATCGAACCATCATGACCATCAAACACTTTACCCACTAGGCTACTCCACAACACTCAGTTTAATGATGATGTGATACTATTCACAGGGAATTCCAAAGTGACCTTCGAAGAGTTCAATCGCAGCCTCCGCAGCTTGATGGCAGGTAGGTTCCATTTTTTCCATCTTTGGAACCGACCATATGGTCGCCTGGAAATAGTTTGACAAAACTACGTTCTAACAAAAATCTTGAAAAATAGCTTTGCCTCATAATACCATAATATTGCGCTTCAACTACTAGGTTATACCACCGTCCCAATATATTGTTGAAAATATTGAAATGAAAGTGAGGCGGTACCCTGCTACAAACAGCACTGCAGCGCAATGGATTTTGGTATAAAGGGAGACAACTGTTTCCAAGAATGAGGCATACCAATAAAACACACTGAAGTACAGTTACGAGTTAAGTTTGTATATGCAGAAACTTACTCACGTCAGTCTTGGAGACCCATCCGTCTATTGTGCCGCAATTCGTGAAGCAGATGTGTTTCCTTTTCGGCATTCCACAAAACTTATGAGTGAGTGAGTGAGTGAGTGAGTTTAGTTTTACGCCGCACTCAGCAATATTCCAGCTATATGGCGGAGATCTGTAAATAATCGAGTCTGGACCAGACAATCCAGTGATCAACAGCATGAGCATCGATCTGCGCAACTGGGAACCGATGACATGTGTCAACTTTAGCGAGCCTGACCACCCGATCCCGTTAGTCGACTCTTACGACAAGCATAGTCGCCTTTTACGACAAGCATGGGTTACTGAAGACCAATTCTAACCCGGGACCTGCACGGGTCGGCACATCGTATGATTATTGGTTCGAATACCGGGTTGCCCTGGTTTATGTTCTAAGTTTACTTGATCCATTTCCACTTTGACGTGCCTAACTCTGGGTTTTCCTCATACAATAGGCTGACACGCTGGGATAGAACTGGAATACTTCTCAAAGCGGTGGTAACACAAACCCAACTCACTCACTCACTACCCGTGAAGATCCGTGTTAGAATCGGTCTTCAGTAACCCATGCTTGTCGTAAGATGCGCCTAACGGGATCGGGCGGTCACACTCGCTGACTTGGTTAACACATGTCATCGTATCCAAACTGCGTAGATCGATGTTCATGCTGTTGATCACTGGATTGTCTGGTCCAGCCTCGATGATTTACAGGTCGCCGCCATATAGCTTGAATATTGCTGAGTGCGGCGTAAAACTAAACGCACTCACCCACTCAAAGCGGCGTGAAAACAACCTAACTCACACTCTCTTTGCTGTTTAGATGCCGATGCTAAGACGGAAGACAAGGAAGAGGAAGATGGGGAGTAAAGTTGCCATGGCAACATGTCGTGGATGAATAAACTTGCAAACTGTCACTCGTTTGTGTCCTGATTTAGGTTGACCCTCTACACCATAGATTTAGTATAAACTGAGACAGTTTAGCGAGTCTCGCGAGTTTCAGCTAAGATTTTTGTAAAGCAGAACCAAAAGGCCGTTATGAATCCGTTTGTTTGTTTCACATAATTCAAGCAACTGTGTATGACAGTAGTCTGTATATCGTTCAGTGTGGATCAGACAATCCAGTGATTGACATCATGAACTTCGAGACCCGTGAAGATCCGGGGTAGAATAGGTCTTCAGCAACCCATTCTTGTCATAAAAAGGCGACTGCTTGTCGTAAAAGGCGACTAACGGGATCGGGTGGTCAGGCTCGCTGACTTGTTTGACACATGTCATCGGTTCCCAATTGCGCAGATCGATGCTCATGCTGTTGATCACTGGATTGTCTGGTCCAGACTCGATTATTTACAGACCGCCGCCATATAGCTGGAATATTGCTGAGTGCGGCGTAAAACTCAACTCACTCACTCACTCACTCATGAACTTCGATCTACGCAGTTTGCACACAGCAACTTGCCACCTGCAGTGCCGCACCTGCAGCTTGGGTTATCAGGGGCAATAATGGACTGTTTGTACGCGCTTCGAGCATGCACTTGTTGTATGGAATTTATCCCTACAGAAGTACACTTTATTATATTATCATTATTATATGACGTCAGTCTGTAAATAATCGAGTCTGGACCAGACAATCCAGTGATCAACACCATGAGCATCGATCTAGTGAAATGGGATACGATGACATGTGTCAACCAAGTCAGCGAGCCTGACCACCTGATCCTGTTAGTCGCCTCTTACGACAAGCATGGGTAACTGAAGATCAATTCTAACCCAGATCATCAGGGGGTCTTAAAACGCCTGAATGACAAAAACACGAATTAAGGGGTAACTGTTGTGTGTTAAAGTTACAGACATAAGTTTTACGTTACATGCTAGTTTTAAATGTCTAACTGTGATATTTTAGTTCCTTTATTGTCCCTTGTCGACAGATGTTACACTATAACATTATCTGTTATTAACGTATGGCCTGATCAGACACGACATATTGCCAATGTGACTTACACATTTTAACTCACTCATTCAATTGGTTGATTGCCTACCTGTTTCATAGTATGGTATAGAGTTTGAAGTCATCGTTCTCATACCATCTTTGTTGAAGAATTTGGTCACTCATTTTGGTCACTCCGTGTGGTCTTACTCGTAAATTACCCGTAAAGATCCGGGTTAGAATTTTTATTTTTTAAAATTTATTTTATTTTTCATGAAACCAAATTGATCATCAGTAACCCGTGCTTGTCATAAGAGGCGACTGATGGGATCGGGTGGTCAGGCTCATTGACTTGGTTGGCACATTTCACCGAATCCCAATTGCGTAGAACGCATGCTGTTGATCACTGGACTGTCTGGTCCAGCCTCGATTATTTACAGACATCCGCCATATATCTGGAATATTGTTCAGTGCAGCGAACAACAAAACTCACTCACTCACTTGCTCGTAAACCCGTCTTTTGTTGTTCATTTGCATTTGCTAGGTGCGCTGTACTTATGGATCTGTTGATCGTAATCATGCCTTGGTTTGCACAACCACAATACCTCTACATACCGTATCTGTCCACTATGCTGACAGTGACGAGAACGAATGTCTCTGCAGCTCTAACGCCATACATACTAATATTTGTATAGCGCCAATATCCAGCTCAGCTGCTCAAGGCGCTTTGTTTTTCCCTCGATCCTTGAATATCGATCTCAGCGGCACCGTATTTTCAATATTCAACTCCTTGGGGATCATACAACTCTTGCAGCCTTTGGGCGCACCAAGATAATGTGGCCATCCTTACGAGGTAGCCATTTACAGCTGGTTGGACTGGGACATATTGAACTACCATATTTTGTGATCGGACAATACATGCACTTTTACACGCTTCTCTTAACCACGGACCTAACGCATTGCCCACACTGATGGGGTCACAGGAGTGTCACAGGGAAGGGTATAAATACAAGGAATATCCCATCATTGTTACTGTGTTGTGATTTGTCTACTTCTGGTGAGTAATATATCAGGAAACTATTTAACCTGCTTATCTCAGCATTTGCAGACGCTTTTTACATAATGTCAGCTGCCCAGGGTTACATATATTCTATTGTGCATATAGCTTTAGAGGGTATTCGTAATGTTTGCTTGGTTGTATGGTTTATTGTTTAACACCGCACTCAGCAATATTCCAGCTATATGGTGGCGGCCTGTAAATAATCGAGTCTGGACCAGACAATCCAGTGATCAACAGCATTATCATCGATTTACGAAACTGGGATACGATGACATGTGTTTACCAAGTCAGCGAGCCTGACCACCCGATCCCGTTAGTCGCCTTTTACGACAACCTTGGGTTGCTGAAGGCCAATTCTAACCCGGGTCTTCACGGGTATATTCGTAATAATAATCAGTCAAGATCGGAACTCCACCAGGTGAGAATGCGCTTATGTGGCGTAGCATTATCAACACGCTAACGCTATTGAAACGTTATTTCCTCAGTATATTTTACTGCAAGTTATAAACGGAAATATAGTTTAAAAGCCATCGTAATATGCTTATAGTTGACATTTTTTCAATGTTTAGGAAATTCCGAAATCTTTCGTGGATTGTTTATGTTTACTGCAGAATACATTCGACAATGCGTTTGCTCCTTGTTCGGTGACTTTATGAGAGAAATATTATTGACTTCAGTGTATACAAAATTCTGAAATCGTGCCAGGATTGTTCATGTTTACTGCAGAATACATTCCACAATGCGTTTGCTCCTTGTTCGGTGACTTCATGAGAGAAATATTATTTAGAAAATATTATAACAGGCTAACATGACTTGTCAATTTCTTGTAAGTATAACATTATTACACATATAATCATACAGTAGTACAGTGTTTACTCTGATTATTTTCACATTATATCATCAGTTACAGATATTGTGTTTGTTGTGCAGATTGCTTTAAAGGGCATTTGTGTTAATAATTTGACAAGATATCTGAGCTCCACTTGTTAAGGATACGTTAGACAACTCAGCAATGTGAACATCCGAACGGAAGGCAAACATTGTTTCCTCAAACAAAATCGGTGACTTTATGATAGAAATATTATTTAGACTATAAAATAACATACTAACATGACTTCATTGTTAAGAAAATTCTCAAATCGTGCAAGGATTATTTATGTTCCCTACAGAATACAGCCCACAAAATGCGTTTGTTCCTTGTCCTCCTGCTTGTGGCCACAGTGATGGTGTCAGAGTCTGATGCCTGGAGACGTCTTCGTGTTCGATGGCGAAGGGTTGGCAGAATAGCTCTCAAAGTAGGAAAATTTGGACTTGGATTGTTGGGTGAGCGACACATAGAAACAGACATAATGCAGGGTTGTCTTTGGCATTTTGTATTCAAGTATATCTTGAGAAGTTATACACGGCGTCATGGTGTTATGGAATGCATCTATGGACATTTGAATGTTTATTTCATATCAAGATTCATATCTTGATCAAAAAGAAGACTCACTTCTCATGATGTCAGTCACTTAATTGTCAGGTCCAGTGGTTTCTGATCGCCGTTATGTACCTTGAATGTAACTGAGGGATTTAAACAAACAAACATACAGACAAACACACAGTTCATGGTCCAATAGGTGACTTTCTTTCACTGTGTATCTTTCCGAACATTATTATTTTACCTTCAGGCAAACGTGATGTGGAAAGCCTTGATGCAAACATGGATGGAACAATTGACCAATCAGAAGCTGAGACGATAATGAACAGACGATCGGCCATGGAATTGCTTTCTTTTGCAGATCAAAATGGTTAGAGCTCATGCATACTATCTCAGTTATACAAATGTAATCTTTACTGAAATATGTTTTATGAGTCAGGAAGGGTTGACAAGATGGAAGATGAATACTTCTGTATCTGAATATATGAGTGAGTGAGTGAGTTAATATTTAACGTCACATCGGCAATATGTCAGCCATATCGTGACGAGAACATATTTGACATTGAAATGTAATATGTGTATATTATAAAAACCTGTCTGCAAAGGACAGTATAACAACTAGAATATCACAATTACAACTAAAACTAGTGTGGAAATTTAAAACTAATAGCACTATTTGGACAATACAATATAAAAAATTGGCTATAGATCGCCAACCACTGAAAGTAGATCACCATACTAGGGACCATGGGGACTTACAGTACTTTTACTTCCTGCATGGACCCTAGCTGGATTTATATCATCCCTTCAGCCGCTGGCAGTATCTGAATATATATTGTCACTGACCTGAACAACATTTCTCCATGTAGGAGACACAAACGTGAGTTTGGAAGAGTTCGCCAGGACCACCGAGAACATTGAGGAATGAATTGAGGTAAGGAATATGAAATCTTACAGAAATGTTTCTGTTTTATTGAGTAGACACCATTGTCACCATAGAAGATCAGGAAATATATGTTTAACATTTTATGTCAAATTGTGGAACATTAGGTGATTCGATGTGTTTCTATTGCAGATAACCCCATTGTAGAGAGAGTGGCACTACACCATTGAAGTTGATCTCGTAAATGATTCTGAATGATTCCGTTGCAAGTGTATGATTTCAATAAATCATCATAACCATCAACTTTGTCATGTCTTGTTCATTAGACTACTCAACAGTAGTAATTTAAGACAGCAGGTGATAAACATGTATTTCTTTCGTTGATTTACATTGTCTTCACTACATCCATTTCGTGAAAATAGTGATCGGAATCATGCATAATCAGCCAAAAGTATATAAAGTCAATTATGTTTGACATGTGATAGCTTTGCTTTAACATGAAACAATGCTCTCCGCATTGCACACAAAACGCATTTCACACTAAGATTGGATCACCTCTGCAGATAATGACTTCGTTGCAATCTAACAAGTGGCAACCTTGATCATTCTAATATCCTTTGATTATGTTGGAACGATGTGTATATTGATGAACCTACACGCATGTTGACACCGATGGTTCGCTCTGCCCACCATGGGGCGGTGGGGTAGCCTAATGGTTAAAGCGTTGGCTCGTCACGCCGAAGACCCGGGTTCGAATCCCACATGGGTACAATGTGTGAAGCCCATTTCTGGTGTCCCCCGCCGTGATGTTGCTGGAATATTGCTAAAAGCGGCGTAAAACCAAACTCAGTCAGTCAGTCGCTCTGCCCACCAGTTGTGTAGTACAGCATACATTTTGACAATAAAAAAATTTGAAATCACTCCGTTGTCAAACAGTATTTGTTGGAGCTTTTGGTCACCCCTTTTTGTCACCACTTGGAACCCTTTAGCATATGAAACAGATTAAGCTGTTTTATGTTCTTGTTTATTTCTAGGTTCTATGTTGTTAAATCAGAGGGAAGGAATTGGCTATTACACCAGTGTGGATGATATGAGATCATAAAATATCTGCATCCGAAGTTACACTTTATGGCCCGTTCCCAACGTTTTAATGTCCCATATAGTGATACATATCACCTGTGAATTTAAGAGGCACTTTGACTATGGTTTCGTAACCCAGTCGTTCTGGTGAAAAGGCCTTGGCTGTCCAGACCAACATCTGTTATCAACCCTATTTCTTTGTCGATATTCTGGTTGTAACCTGCTAATCACCAACCGTGAAACGTTAAGAACTTGTGCCACTGTACTCTGTATTGTTTCAGTTGGAAGCATACTATTGAACAGACGCCGAAAAGGCAAAACACCCTGTTTAATTGTGTGCAAACCAATATGAGAACAACTCTCAGTTTGCTTTTATAACTGACATGTACTACAATACGTTGACACGTTTGACAGTAAATTTCTAACCCCGACGATGTTAACGTGGAAACGATGAAAATCGCTTGCACGGAATTGGGGTGTAAATGGAATAATCATTTTCTAAATCCACATCTCATCATAGGCCACCATACATCGTTGCCACGTTCACATACACACACTCTGTGGTTGAAACAACTAGCATTTCCCCTGAAACGTTTAAGTGGGAACGGAGGTGTAGAAATGAAATCTTCTGAAAGAATAGACCCTGCCTGATACTTTTCTGAGATTGCAAATATTCAAGTAGATCTCTCCGAGTGTCCATATGGTATTCATTCCACCTCTTTCAAACATCTTTCTGTGAGGAAGAACAAAGTCCTTCTTTGATCCTGCTAAGGAATATGGGTAATATGTCAGGCGGGGACTTGGTGGTCCATTTTGTCCACCAAGCAATATATACAGTAATATTTGTCTATTAAAAGGGATCTTATGGGGCTTTAGAATCCAGTACAAAACATGTATGGTCTATTGTTGAAAGGAAACGTTTGGAAAATTCCCTTTCACTTAACAAACTGGGTTCACGTTTTTCATTATTTGATATGTCGTACGTATGATGTGATGAGACATACCTGTAATGGTTATACTGAAAGAGTTGTCAGACGGTACAGCTACAATCTTTTTAAATAGTGTAGCCAGTCTTTGAATGACAGCTAACTGGTGCAATAATATTGTTTCCAATTCTGTTTCCTCTATTAGTAAGTTATTGTGAAAAGATTGGTCATTTCTTTTGGCTCATTTTAATCTATCTAATCCTGCTTGGGAATCGGTTGAGGTGAGGTGAAATTGGGTTTTACGTCGTGCTTGAGAATATTTCGCTCATATGACGACGTGCTTGCGTGTGTATGTGTATATGTGGCTGCTTGTACTAGCCCAGACTTAAGCTGGTTTTATAGTGCTAGCCCACTGAGATACCATACCGCAGTGAAGCATGACTACCCCACTCAGACACATTATACTGACTACGAGCCGACCAGTCCTTGTTGTACCCATTAATGCCGAGCGCCAGGCAGGGACCAACAAGTACCATATTTTAACGTTTTTTGGTATGACGCGGTCGGGGATCGAACCCGCGACCTTCCGCAGGGAATTGGTTGAGAGCATTTGTAGCGTCTTGATATAATTGTTAGGTAGCATTGTAACGTCACTTACTTTGCCAAACAGATAGCAACATGAAGTGCTTCAGTGCTTTCGACATAATATTAACTTATTCTAAATTGATTCATCATTTCCTTTGGCTTATTTAAATGGATGTAATCCTGTTTGGTGACATTGTAACGTCACTTACTTTGCCAGACAGATAGCAACATGGACGTCTGTGATATATAGATGTACATTAGAAAATAAGCACCACTCCTAGAGTGAGAATAAACAGTGACAGGACCTCTCTCAACCTTATGTTTCTTTTTCGACACCCTGGAAAACCATTACAACTATGTACTGAGAGCTGGTTCCAGAGACAGTTGTCAAAGGAATGTAAATATTGTTAATGATATTGTTGCGATCATGACAGTTATATCAAACTTCATCGGAAACCTTTGATGTCTGAAAGAAATGCTTTTCTCGGTTTTAATTGGTTGTTGATATTTATGTAAAACAAGATGGTGATGAGTTTTTGTAGGAGCTGAATTTTGTGATGCAATTCACTATAATATATGGAAAGATTTAATATTACCCTTCTGCTAGTTTACCTGGAAAATGACATCCTAACTGACTTCGTTAGGATATTCTGGATGTATCAAGCACATACAAAGCCATTTATTTACCATCCTGTTAAGAGATAGTGAGTGCGTCCGTCCGTGTGTGTGTGCCTGTGTATGTGCGTGTGAATGTGTATCTGCATGTGCGTGTGCGGGAGTGATTGAGTAGAGTTGAAATAGAATTTAAAATAGACTATATGAAAGGGTCATATAGTAACAAATCTATCCCAGAGGCATGATCTTGACTCTTTTATCCCAAGGGATATAGGGTGTGGGAACGTGTGTATATTTTGCATGACCAATACGATGAAATTGCTGGATTTTATTGTCTGATATTGCTAATTGCGACTTGAAAGTCAGCCACCCACACTCAGGAGGAGAATAATACATGCTCATGTACTTCGAGGATACCGCCACTAAGAATCTCAGCTGCTTATTTAATCTACCAATTCTGAAACGACCATTTATTAATGTGATAACATAGGTTGCTAAATTTATCAAACAGTTCCATTTCTTTAAAAACAACACAGCCTCAACTTGACTCTTTTTTCACAAGGGATATAAAATGTAGAAACGTGAGTATATGTCGCATAGCCAATACGAAATTGATGCACTGACCTATTAAAATGTCGACTGCCAAGCACAAAATGTATGACGGACGTTCCGACAACTCACTGACGAACATATTGAAAAGTCTTCTTTTCCTCAACTAAAGTATATCCACAAGCGTTATTTCTCCACTAACCCTACCGTATTGTGAACGATTCCAACGAAGAGAAAACTTTTATCCCAAATGTTGTTGGCTCCATCTACATTATAGTCTGACAAATTAATTGACAACTTGTGGAAATGTTTCAAAGCAATATGTTACAACCGTAAACACTAGCTACCTTTTAAGATCAATGTGATATATTCTATTAGACTAGTGCATTAAATCGCTTCTGCCCACACAGGCACCCTTTCCTGAAAGCAAATAAATTGTGATAAGTGATTAATAGAGGCAGTCTGGCAACAGATGTAAACATACTTCAAACACAAACCTCTTTGAAATCATACCAAGGAAGTGTGAACTGATGTATTTTCTTATCGGACATCACATTTCCATTTACACTCTTCTCTTACACACGGACCTAACACATAACCCACACAGATAAAGTTCACGGGATTGTCCCAGGGAAGAGTATAAATACGAGGAATGCCCCATCCTTGTTACTGTGTTGTGATTTGTCAACTATTGGTAAGTATAACATTATAGCTTTAAAGGGTATTTGTGTTAATAATTTAAGGAGATATCTTAACTCCACCTGCTAAGGATACGTTAGACAACTCAGCAATGTGAACATCCGAACGGAAGGCAAACATTATTTCCTCAAACAAAATCGGTTACTTTATGATAGAAATATTATTTAGACTATAAAATAACATACTAACATGACTTCATTGTTAAGAAAATTCTCAAATCGTGCAAGGATTATTTATGTTCCCTACAGAATACAGCCCACAAAATGCGTTTGTTCCTTGTCCTCCTGCTTGTGGCCACAGTGATGGTGTCAGAGTCTGATGCCTGGAGACGTGTTCGATGGCGAAGAGTTGCCAGAATAGCTGGCACAGCAGTAAAAGTTGGATCTGTATTGTTGGGTGAGCGACACATAGAAACAGAAACAATGCAGGGTTGTCTTTGGCATTTTGTATTCAAGTATATCTTGAGAAGTTATACGGCGTCATGGTGTTATGGAATGCATCTATGGATATTTGAATGTTTATTTCATATTAAGACTCATATCCTGATCAAAAGAAGACTCACTTCTCATGATGTCAGTCACTTAATTGTCGGGTCCAGTGTCCATTTCTGATCGCCGTTATGTACCTTGAATGTAACTGAGGGATTTAAACAAACAAACAAACATGCAGACAAACACACAGTTCATGGTCCAATAGGTGACTTTCTTTCACTGTGTATCTTTCTTAACATTATTATTTTACCTTCAAGGCAAACGTGATGTGGAAAGCCTTGATGCAAACATGGATGGAACAATTGACCAATCAGAAGCTGAGACGATAATGGACAGACGATCGGCCATGGAGTTGCTT